GTGGAATTATTTCCATTAATGTGGGATATTTAGATCCAAAATATATGGAAATTTTAGCACCGATTTTTACTGAAAGGCGACTTTTAACAGAAAGCGATTTTCAGTTACCCCAATGTATGCTTTTCGAAACGTCTCTGCATCTTCTATTCTTTCAAGAAAAGCTTCGAAAAGAGGTAAAGTCTTAAAGAATAGATTATTAATTGGATGTATATAGCGGTCGTAAGACGATCTATGGTCAAACTGGCAATATATTGGACTCTAAGCTTATGACGTAACATAATTCTGAAAAACAAATGAGTAAGGCGCTCTGCAACTTCTATTCTTGTAAGGAAAGCTTCAAAAAGAGGTGGAGTCTTAAAGAATACATTATAAACTGGGTGTATATAGTGGTCAAAAGACGATCTAAGTTTAAACTGGCAATATTTAATTCTCTAAGATCATGTAGAAACATAATGAGTAAGGCGCTCTACACCTTAAATTCTTGCAAGAAAAGCTTCGAATAGAGCTTGAGTCTTAAAGAATACATTATGAAGGCGATCTAGGGTCAAACTGGTAATATTTTGGACTCTTAACTCATGTAGAAACATAATGCTGAAAGACAATGAGTAAGGCGCTCTGCACCTACTATTGTTGCAAGAAAAGCTTCGAACAGATGTGGTGCCTTAAAGAATACAATATGTATTGGATGTACATAGCGATCATAAGACGATCTAGAGTCAAACTGGCAATATATTGGACTCTAATCTCACGTAGAAACATAATAAGACGCTCAGCACCTTCTATTGATCAAAAAGAGTTGGGGTCTTAAAGAATAGCGATCGTAAGACGACCTAAGGCAAAACTGGCAATATTTTTGGACTATAAGCTCATGTCGAAACATAATGCTGAAAGTCAAGAAAAACTTTTAAATGAGATAGGTTCTTAAAGATTACATAGTGTTCTGGATGTACATAGCTGTCATTAGAACCCATCTGATCTATGGTTGACTTGTCTGATGGAAAGTGGTGGAAGCGAAAACCCTTAGGTCCATTTTGACTAAGATCTTTGTAACTTGTTTTACAATTACTGGACAAACAACAGAACAGTATGGAGATTATGCCGGCCCTTGATACTAAGTCGGCAATATTGATACATGATCTACAAAAAGTAGATTAACAACCTTCCAAATCACAAGGGATAATGCGATCTCAGTTTACATTGTGGGATCCAAAACTGATATGGATATTGGCTCGGGAATTTTCTGCAATTAGTTTGGTCTCCATATTGTGTCTTGTTTCGTCATTCTCGAAGTGTCTTCTCAACTGCATTACATTTCTATGTAACTTTTTGTCGAGTTGATATGTTTTCTTAAAAATAGAATTACTCTTAAACCGAACTTTTACAAATATACTTCTATTCATAGTGGAAGAGAATATCTAAAGCGCTATGGCCCTGTCTTTCAGAGAATAGAACATTGATGCTCTTGAATCTTTATAGGTATTAATTAAGAATTCTTATAAATATAATTAATGGATACATGTTAGATCATATGGCCAACCCACGTTGAAGTTAATGCAGAAGTTCTTTAGACGAAGAAGAATATTCGCTATATAAATGTATGTATGTATCTCCATGCAAAGCTATTTTATGATCTAGACTGTCTGAAATATGTCTTACTTACGAATCTAAACTTTTATCAACACATATGTCACTATCACAGACATATTAAATCAACGTTTAAATTCAAATACTAATGATCTATGGAAAATGATTTAGTGATCGAAAATTACATCGAGTAGTAGATAACAATCTGGAAGTTCCGAAAATATTCATAACGAAAGCACATAGAAGGAAAAAGAAATATATACGCCTGGTACCAAATTGACACCAAACTGTTTATAATTTTTCAATACCAACGTTGTTGACAACGCTGCGTTGTCAACATTACATAGTGTTGTCGTACGTATGTATATACTTTGACAACGAATGTTATTGAAAAATTATAAACTCTTTGGTGTCAATTTGGTACCAGACATGTATATTTCCTTTTCCCTCTGTGCAGTTAAATAAGATTTATACCCCAAAAATCCATTAAACAGATCATTTTGTTACATTAAAAAGATAAAAGTTTCAATGTTCGTCAATTTATTTATTAGAAATACTTTATTATACATTTCAAATATAACAAAATATATCAAAATTATATCTACGAAACAAGCTTAGCACATGCTTCAATACGTAAAGGATAATTGCTTAAAAGAAATTTGAAATTTTTCAGGGCCATTTGTACACAGGCGGGTTTACCATAAGGTTTTGTTAAACCTTTGTTTATATCATTCCTAGTTTTATTGTAGGAAATTTCTAAGCTAACCATTTCATCTTTAAGTTGGGTGGCACATTTGTCTGAGGGTACTTTATCACTATCCTTATTTATATTAAAATCAGCATTATCGCAAACATTATCATTGATATCCGCTACATTTGAGGTTATTTGCATAAGTTCACTAGCATCAGCAAGTTCTTTAGTCAAATTTGCTGCAGCTTCTGGGCCACAACGTTTAGAGACTTGATAAGAAAATTCATCAGCCGAATCCTCTAAATTAAGCACTGACTCCACCAAACAGTAAACACCAAGTAAATTTTTAACACTTGAATTGGAATTTTTCGATAAATCGGAGAGAGCAGATCCTTGCACCATACCGCAAAGACCAAACGTTAAAAGTATAAATGAAATTTTATAAAACATTATTTCCTTTTAATAAAATTATATGTATTTGCAACACTTTTGAAATACTAATTCTTCATTTGTGTTTTCCTTCTTTATATAGTGAAAAATTTAATTTGCATTTTTTAAACTATTTATACAAGTTTATTTGTTTTTTAATTAATTAACTAATTATATAATTTTGCAAAAAATAAATATTTAAAGAAAGAACGTCCATTAATTAATACTTTTTTATTAATACATATTTAAATGGTATTGAATTTTCAATAATTACTGGCTTAATTTTATTTTCGCAAAAAATCAATATTAATTAAATAATTAAAAAAACGAATACATTGTCATGACTATTGAGCAGTCTATTGGCTAGTATCATGACTGGTCTATGGGCTAGGCAATTGACTAGTATATGGATTAGCCTGTAATCTATTGAATAGTCTATGTACTAGACCATTGAGAAGTGTATGGACTAGTCTATTGATTAGTATATGGACTATCCTATTGACTAGTCTGTGGACTACTCTAATGACTAGTCTAGTAGTATATTCAATAGTCTATAGACTAGCCTGTAATCTACTTAATAGTCTATGGACTACATATATATTAGTTTATCGACTAGTTTTTGGACTAGCATGTGGACTAGTCTATTGACTAGAACAGTCTATAGAGTCTAATGGACTAGTCTATGGATAAGTCAATGGAATAGTCTATAGACTAGTCTGTGGGCTATCCTTAATCTATGTATATAATAGTCTTTGGATTAGTATAATGTCTAGCCTATGGAGAAGTCTATGAATTAGTACATTTACGGGTTTATTGACTAGTCTACGGACTACCCAATGTATTAGTTTATCGACTAGTTTTGTGGACTAACATATGGACTAGTCTATTGACTAGAACATTCTGTTGTGTCTAGTCTATAGTCTAGTTGACTAGTCAATGGAATATTCTAAGTCGATGAAATAGTCTATAGACTAGTCTGAAGACTATCCTGTAGCCTATTTAATGGAATAGTATTATGTCTAGCCTAAGGACAAGACTATTAAGAAATCTGTGAATCAGTACATTTACGGGTTTATTGACTAGTCTATGGAATATTCTATTGACTAGTCTATGAAGTAGACTACGAACTAGTCTGATGACTATTCTATGAATTAGTCTAGTGGCTATTCTTTAGATTGGTCTATGGACAATGTAATAGTATATGGACTAGTAATCTATTGAATAGTCTATGTACTAGTATTATGACTAGCCAATGGACTAGTCTATTGACGAGCATATGAGCTAGTATATTTACAGGTTTATAGATTAGGCTATGGACTAGCTTATGGACTAGTTTATGTACTAGTTATTGACTAGTTTGTGGAATAAACTAATGAATATATTATGGACTATAGTTTTGACAAGTCTGCAGATTAGTATTTTGTCTAGTCTATGGACTTGTCTATATTACTAAATTAAAAAGCTTTTCTTCAACTAGTCCATTGTCTAAACCACGACTATATTATTGACTATTCTACGGACTAGTCCATTTACTTTTCTATGAACTAGTCTATTGACTATGATATATATATATAGTATATTGTCTAGTCTATAGACTAGTCCATGGGCTAACTACTTACCAGTCTGTGGATTAGTCTGAGGTCTAGATTTTGAACTAGTTAATGAAATACTACTCTGTTGATTAGTCTATGGACTAGCCTACTAATTAGCCTAAGAACTAGCCTATTGTCTAGTCTATTGACTAGTGCATGGCTAACTATAGACCAGTCTGTGGGCTAGCTTTTGAACTAGTATATGGAATAGTCTACTGACTACTCTATTGACTAGTCCGTGGTCTACTTTAGTCTATGGACTAGTCTATTGAATAATATATTGACTAGTCTATAGACTATCCTAATAACTAGTCTAGTGACTATTCTATGGATTAAACTATGGACTAGTCTATGGATAAATCGAAGGAATAGTCTAGAATAGTATATGATTTAGTATATTGATTAGTCTGTAATCCATTTAATAGTCTTTGGAATAGTATTATTATGGACTAGTCTATAGAGAAGTCTATAAATTGGTATATTTACGGGTTTATTGATTAGTCGATGGGTTACGCCATGTATTAGTTTATGGACTAGTTTATTGACTAGTCTGTGGACTTATTGAGTAGACTAGTTTAATGAGTATTCTATTAACTAGTCTATAGACTATAATATTGACAAGTCTGTAGATTAGTCTTTGACTAGTCTAAGCACTAGTGTATTAAGTCTGTTCTAGTCTATATTACTAAATTAAAACGATTTTCTTTTAATGTTCCTCAAATTGTATTTATTAGAAATATATTATTACATATTTCAAATATAATAAAAATATTTCAATATTAAGCATCAGCTGCAAGTTCAGCACATGTTTCAATACGTTGAGGAAAACTATTTAAAAAGTATTTGAAATTTGTCATGGCCATTTTGACACAGGCAGCGCTATTATAGGATTGCTTTAAACCATTAGTTATATCCTTCTTAGTTGTCTTAAATGAAGTCAACAAGTCTGCCATTTGGGTTTTAAGTTGGGTAGCACAATCGCTGGAGGCTTCAGTATCACTATCTGTATCTTCATCAAATGCAGAATTATCACAAATATCTTCATCATCATTGGTATCAATCACCTTCGAGGTTAATTTCATAAGAGCCTTAGTGTCAGCAAGTTCTGTAGCTAGATTTTTAACAGCATCAGCGCCACAGCTCTTAGAGATTTGATAGGTAAACTCATCGGCAGCATCCTCTAAATTAAGTACAGATTCTACCATACAATGAACACCAAGTAAATTTTGAACACTTGATTCAACATTTTTAGCAAAATCGCTTATAGGAGTTGCCTGCACCAAACCACAGAGGCAAATGCTTAAAAGTATTAAGGAAATTTTAGAAAACATTTCTCCGTTTAATTAAATTTCTATTGCGAAGTTTTCAAAATACTAATTGATCTTTTATTTTGATCTAATCTTTTTATAGTGAAAATATTATTTTTTTGTTTTGTTAACTGTTTGCACAAGTTTATTTGTCTTGCAATTGATTATTGCTTAAATAATTATGTTTTTTTTTACTAAAAAAATTAAAAAAAAAGAAAATTAATTAAATTTCTTTGTAAATATTTAAATTAAGTGGATTTTTTTTCTCAACAATTGCAATTGAAACGAAGTATTTGTACTTAAGTTAATTAAAAATAGTCGTCATTTAAATTAAATTATTGCTACTGATTTTTTTGGGTTTGTTTTTATTTGCTAAACAATTTTTAATTTTGGCTAACAAATTAGTAGTAAATATTTATTTAAGTTTTTGAGACTAGGAAGAGATACACTTTTAAAATAATACATTGTTGGTGTTTGCAATAAGGGCCAATATTGTTAGTATCACGTGTATAAAAAAATTATTGAATTGATAAAAAATATTTGCTACTTCAAGATCAAGTTTAGTCGGAATTCAATATCGAAATTATTTCCCCACTTAGACGTTTATTTGTAAAGTTATCGAACATGTAAGAAGATATATGGAGAGCTACTTTTCTTAAGAAGAAAATTATTTTTCAAGATAATATTAACGATTTTAGAAATTTTGAGTATTTCTTTAAAAAATAAAATTTTTAATAAGAATTATAAGTGACCATAGATCAAGATAATTCAAGCGATTAAAAATTTTACAATATTTTTATAAAATATGAAGTTTTAATTGGAAATATAAATTACTACAGATTTGGTGCAAAAGATCGATCTTCTCTTTCTCATATATCATGCTCTTTCTCTTAAAAGCTATTTAAAATTGTTATATAGATAATGTATCCATGTTTGATTGATCTTCTTTTTTTTAAACAAAGTTTTGTTTTTAAAAGTGATTGATCACTGATCGAGCTTTTATTTGAAAATTTCAACGAATTTTTCTTATAGGTAAGGTTTGTTTGATATTGAAAATGGGCGGGGCCCATACAAGTGGCCCCCGAAAAACAGCTTTAACAGTCATCACTGTTTTAAAAATGAGAATATAGCGATGAAATTCGACATAAATAAGTTTTATATGAGTCCAATTCTCTCTACCAAATTTTATGAGGATCGGTCCGTAATTGACCCTATCCTTCATGTATGGTCTACCCCAAAAAATTACTTTAACACCCATTGCTGGCTTAAAAATACCTAGACTCTCTGAAATTCGATATAAGTAAGTTTCTTAGCAGTAAAAATCTATCTACCGAATTTTATGAGAATCCATATATTATCCTACCCCCCATATAAGGTCCTCTCAGAAAATGACTTTAACGTTCACTAATGGCTTGAAAATACGAGTATAGCGATGAAATTCGACATAAATAAGTTTTATATGAGTCCAATTCTCTCTACCAAATTTTATGAGGATCGGTCCATAACTGACCCTACCCTTCATATATGGTCACCACCAAAAAATAACTTTAACACCCATTACTGGCTTAAAAATACGAGTCTGTCGCTAAAATTAGATGTAAGTAAGCTTCTTACGAGCAAAAATCTATCTACCGAATTTTATGAGGATCGGTCCATTTAATATCCTACCCCCTTATAAGGTCCTCTCAGAAAATGACTTTAACCCTCACTACTGGGTTAAAAATACGAGTATAGCGCTGAAATTCGACATAAGTAAGTTTCTTACGAGCACAAATCCCTAATCCGAAAGGGATGTGTCCATAATTGACTTAAGCTCTATTTCACATATCAACCTAATGTTTATAGGAGAGTATTCCATTTGCGATTGATCATAGTTCGAGATCATAGATAAATATATATGATCGAAGATGGAGGATATTTCAGTGAACAATGAAATGTCTTATGAAAAAACGAAAATATTAGTGACAGCAGTTAATGATCTTTTTCTCGATCAAGTCGATCACCATTTCAAAATTATAAATAATCGCTGATTATGATCTTGATTAAATTTTTTTAATATAATACGATTTTTTCTTATGAAAGGTTTAGATTTAATAAAAAACATTAATATTTAAATCGGGATTTAGTTCTGAGTGATCGCAGATACAGGTCTTTTGTTCCATCGTATAATCACCGATCTAATTTAATTTCCTACTTAGTTAAAAGTTTATTTGTCAAATAAATCAAGATCGAATACGCCAATTGGTAGTAATCAACTTATTGCTTTAAGGATTTTACGTTTTTCATTTAGTAGATAAATTTTTGCGATCGCAGATCGAGGCTATTTGACCGAACAATGGAATGATCTCGGATCAATTTTTTTTAAGTCTTTTTTTAAACAACATTTAAATATAATCACATTTAATTGGGTTTTGTCGATCAATAGAATATGATATTGTTTAATTTAAAATTTTTATTTTTTTGTATTTAATTTTTTTTTTCAACATTATAATTGATCGCTGAGAAACTGATCATATCCTTGATAAAAGTTTTTAATTTAATATAAGTTTTTCTTATAAAATATGGAGATTTAATTAAAACTTTTCGAATTCGAGATCGAGATCCACTTCTTGTTCTAAGTGATCGCAGATCAAGATCTTCCATTCTATCCAATAATCACTAATATAGTTTAATTTACACAGTTAAATAACCTTTAAAAATCGATAACAGATCGTGTTCATTATTAATTTAAATACCCTTTTGCCAAATCAGTAACGATTTAAGATTTTTTTAATGAAAAAAATGAATTTGATTCAGAATGAGTGATCGATCTAAGATCGAGTTGTTATCCCTTGACTTGGAATATGGAATTTTTTGTTTAAAAGAAAAAACAATCTTTCTATACATACATATATGCTGCTCAACATTTATTTAAAACTTCTAGTACATATTTTCAATGATATTTTTCGATTATTTAAAAAGTTTAGAACAATATTCAACCAATTCCGTAAAGATGGGTAAATTTAATTTTAAATTATTTGCAGCAATTTTACTACAGGAATCTGTAACCTTGTCTGCCTTATTAGTTACATAATTTAATGTTTTCTCCAACCAATCATTAAGTTTAACCATTCTTGTCCTAATCGAACTGACACACAGAGTAGGAGAGGTCTTCTTAGCATCGGTGGTCTCATTATAGGCAGCATTTTTACAAATATTATTATGGGCATCAATAACATTTTCTGTCAATTCTCCGAAACTTTTACAATAATTCTCCATTTGTGTTACAAATTTAGACGGTTTTGTAACATTACAAATTTTTATATCGTAAATGAACTCATTGGCAACATTTTCCACATTGAATACTGATTCGATCAAACAATTTATGCCACCCAAATATTTAGTTGATGTTTTGACATTGTTTTTAAATGTAGTACAGTTGGCTAAAACCAGTATAGAGGTAAATAGTAAAAAATATACTTTAGAGTTCATGGTATTTCCAAGATATCTCTATTTTTGTAATACTGAAATTTTAACACAAAATCGTAAGTTTATATACTCTTTAGATGTTTGAATTATTTGCTTAAATATTTGTAGTTTGATTTATTTATCTACAAGATAAACAGTATCTGTTTAATTGGAATAGTTTTTAGTTTTTATAGTTATCAAGAAAATGTAATGTTTTCAATTTGTACTTATACGTGTACGTACTTCTTGGAAAAGAAATGTTTTACACACAGAGTACGAACCTGGGCCTCTTGTGGGTTAGCAAGCAGTCCTAGCTTAAAAGTAATGCATATGGTATGTAGTAGTCATGGAAAAGTAAGTTAATGTGTAAGTACAAGTCATTACCGAGTTTTTGTTAGGTACACATGTTTGATTAGTGATTAAGCTTTTTCTTGGATCGTTACCTAGAGAGTAACTAAGAATTTACTTGCTTCTACTGGAACTAAAAATTTTTATAAAAGAAAGAATTTGCACAGTAAGAGATTTTGCTAAAAAACACAAGCTTCTTCAAATGCTTCTTTCACTTTTATTTAAAAAAAATTAATAAAACTTTAAATGTTTAAATAACAAAGCACAATTATTAACTGATTCGGGAAGAATTGGTAAATTTATCTTTAATGTATTTGCAGCAATTGCACTACAGGTATCTCCAATTGCTGATTCATCTGAAGCCAAATATTTATAAGTATTTGAAACAGCCGCAAAGAGATTAGCCATTAGCGTATTAATTTGTTCCGTACAAGCTACAGGCGCCGATTTACCAGCATCTGACTCTTCATAGGCAGCATTTTTGCAAACAATATCATCGGCGTTAATGATCTCTCCGGTATTTTCGGTAATGGTATTGCATAAATTTAAGATTTCAGTAACTACAGCGGATGCATTTACGTTACATACTTGAATGTTGTAGCTGAAGTCGTTGGCTAAATTCTCCACATTGAAGACGGCTTCAATTAAACAATTAACGCCTCCTAAGGTTGGTGTTGAAGCCTGTACATTTGTGGTAAAGATTTCTTGACTTCCAAAATCATCAGCTCCCCGTGATAGTGCTAGGATATTAGCAAATAGGAAAATAATTATTTTACTATTCATTGCGTTGTGTTATTTTTATATTTCCAAGGTGTTTATTTTTGTAAGACTGAAATTATATACAAAAATCTATTGCTTATATAGTCCATAATTTGTTAAAAGCACTTCAGACATTTTACTTTATCAACTAATTGCAGCTTAAAATAATTAAGTGAAAGATAACAAAAGTTTAAATAATTTAAGTATTTTATAAAAATAGTATTAAGTATTTTATATTTTCAACTAATTATAAATAACTATAGATCTTACTAGGTTATTCAATCGATCAATCGTCATTGGTTATCCGATTTATTTGTTGAATATATTTATAGATAGATAGATAGATAGATAGATAGATAGGTAGATAGATAGATAGATAGATAGATAGATAGATAGATAGATAGATAGATAGATAGATAGATAGATAGATAGATAGATAGATAGATAGATAGATAGATAGATAGATAGATAGATAGATAGATAGATAGATAGATAGATAGATAGATAGATAGATAGATAGATAGATAGATAGATAGATAGATAGATAGATAGATAGATAGATAGATAGATAGATAGATAGATAGATAGATAGATAGATAGATAGATAGATAGATAGATAGATAGATAGATAGATAGATAGATAGATAGATAGATAGATAGATAGATAGATAGATAGATAGATATATAGACAGACAGATAGATAGATAGATAGATAGATAGATAGATATATAGACAGACAGATAGATAGATAGATAGATAGATAGATAGATAGATAGATAGATAGATAGATAGATAGATAGATAGATAGATAGATAGATAGATAGATAGATAGATAGATAGATAGATAGATAGATAGATAGATAGATAGATAGATAGATAGATAGATAGATAGATAGATAGATAGATAGATAGATAGATAGATAGATAGATAGATAGATAGATAGATAGATAGATAGATAGATAGATAGATAGATAGATAGATAGATAGATAGATAGATAGATAGATAGATAGATAGATAGATAGATAGATAGATAGATAGATAGATAGATAGATAGATAGATAGATAGATAGATAGATAGATAGATAGATAGATAGATAGATAGATAGATAGATAGATAGATAGATAGATAGATAGATAGATAGATAGATAGATAGATAGATAGATAGATAGATAGATAGATAGATAGATAGATAGATAGATAGATAGATAGATAGATAGATAGATAGATAGATAGATAGATAGATAGATAGAATAGATAGATAGATAGATAGATAGATAGATAGATAGATAGATAGATAGATAGATAGATAGATAGATAGATAGATAGATATATAGATAGATAGATAGATAGATAGATAGATAGATAGATAGATAGATAGATAGATAGATAGATAGATAGATAGATAGATAGATAGATAGATAGATAGCTATAGATAGATAGATAGATGGATAGATAGGTAGATAGATAGATAGATAGATAGATAGATAGATAGATAGATAGATAGATAGATAGATAGATAGATAGATAAGAGTAGTAGATAGTTAGTTAGTTAGTTAGTAGTTAGTTAGTTAGTTAGTTAGTTAGTTAGTTAGTTAGTTAGTTAGTTAGTAGTTAGTTAGTTAGTTAGTTAGTTAGTTAGTAGTTAGTTAGTTAGTTAGTTAGTTAGTTAGTTTAGTTAGTTAGTTAGTTAGTTAGTTAGTTAGTTAGTTAGTTAGTTAGTTAGTTAGTTAGTAGTTAGTTAGTTAGTTAGTTAGTTAGTTAGTTAGTTAGTTAGTTAGTTAGTTAGTTAGTTAGTTAGTTAGTTAGTTAGTTAGTTAGTTAGTTAGTTAGTTAGTTAGTTAGTTAGTTAGTTAGTTAGTTAGTTAGTTAGTTAGTTAGTTAGTTAGTTAGTTAGTTAGTTAGTTAGTTAGTTAGTTAGTTAGTTAGTTAGTTAGTTAGTTAGTTAGTAGTTAGCTAGTTAGTTAGTTTGTTTGTTTGTTTGTTTGTTTGTTTGTTTGTTTGTTTGTTTGTTTGTTTGTTTGTTTGTTAATTAGATGGATGGTTCGATTCCCACCAAAGCCTCTGGTAAAACAGCTCACAACAGGCCCCATAGTGGCATAGGTGTTTTCTATAAAATCTTATGTAACATACATCTCCCTAAAACAATATCCCTTCGTAATCAGCACAAAGCCTAACAATAACATTGTAAATGTTAAAGTCTAAAATTAACTATCCATTACTTTGTATTAAATGATTGCTGGAAAGAAAACTAAAAATATTTTTTCATTGCTTCTCTTTTATTTCAAAAAATGTTAATCAAAAAACGTTTCAAGTTTTATTATAAACATCTCCATTATTAAAATGATGTACTACACATTTTAACTGCTTCAGTAAGAATGGGTAAATTCAACTTCAATGTATTTGCTGCAATTGTACTGCAACTATCTCCAATTGCTGGATTTGTAGCTAAATAATCGATAGTATCTGAAACAGCAGTATAAAGATTACCCATTAGCGTATTCATTTTGTTGGTACAAGCTGTAGAGGGTTCATCACTAGCATCAGAATCGTCATAAGCAGCATTGTCGCAAACCTTATCATCAGCATCAATTACTTTTGCTGTTTTTTTGGTAATAGTTTTGGCGTAATTATTTAATTTAGTAACTACCGAGGATGCTTCAGCGTTACAGATTTCAATGTCATAGATAAAATCGTTGGCAACATTCTCTACACTAAATGCAGCTTCAGTCAAACAATTAATACCACCCAAGGTTTTTGTTGATGCCTCTATATTTGCAGTGTAGTCTGATTGATCAGTTCCACAGGATAATGCCAGGATACTAGCAAATAATATTGTTATTATTTTAATATGCATTGCGTAGCGTTTTTTTGTATTTTCAAAAAGTTTTATTCTTGTGATACTGAAATTATAAGCCATCACCGATTGTTTATATAGTCCACAGTAGTTTAATGCACTTCATGCTTTTTACTTGTGTAAATAATTTTATCAAATATTTATTTAAATTTTAATTAATTGAAAATTTGAAAATGTTTTTTTAATGTTTAAATATTTTCAGTATTTCTTAAAATTGCTGTTTAAGTATGTATAAATTTTCATGAGAGTAATAGCAAATATTTATATTAATTCATTGATTGATATCTTATAAATTTATTGTTGCATATCGGGAGCTAATATGTAAAAGTATCATCTATTATTTACGCCTTCACTGCGGGATAGAATTAATTTTTTAGAAATATATCAGTACAGTTTCAGAGCAATAAGGTTTGGATGAAAATTAAAAAAAAATATATGTATATAGATATATGTAATATTAATATTATTAATTGAATATTCTTCAGTCTCGAGTTCGAGTCCCACTTGGGAAAATAACTTATCTCCAAGTGGGACTCGAACTCGAGCTTGAAAAATATTCTATTAATAATATTTACATTAGTATTAAAGTTACTGTACAAAATGTGGCAACTGATAATGTTATAATATCCTAGATAAACAAATTTCAGTATCTCATAAGTGAATTTCCTCTAAAAATTCATATTAATTCTTATGTTACTAGAACAAAATTTGGTCAATCTAGCATTTATAGTTTCCCAGATATACGTATTTTAGTATTTGATTAATATGGGGATGCCACGCCCACTAATGCGGATCAGAGTTGACCGTGCAAAATTATGACTGTAGCTTTTATAGTTTTCTAGAAATAAGAATTTTTGGATTTTGACTAAATTGGGAGATCCACATCGCTAATGCCAGTCCGCCAATTTTTTCTTAAATGTTTATATCTGTAGATGTCAAAGTTGTTAGTGCTATTATATTAAAGTTCTCATATATACGAATTTTATGCGTTTTTTTTTTTGTATGGACGTAGTACCTCGCTGCTTTAAAATTGCAAATTTTCTTCACACTATAGGAAGATACTGTGAACATTTTCCAATTTTTATGACTTCTTTAACATTTCACCCATTTCAAAAACAATTTTATTCATACATTTTGCCACAAATATCCAGACTTAGGGTCAGAAATATTGATTGGTTCAAATGGGCGCTACAGAGCGGATATACAGTTATTATAATATCTACCGATCTACCGATCTATGGTATCTATCTATCTATCTATTATCTATCTACGTATCTATCATCTATCATTCTATTATATATCGGAGCGAGCGAGCGAGCGAGCGAGCGAGCGAGCGAGAGAGGAGCGAGCGAGCGAGCGAGCGAGCAGCGAGGAGCGAGCGAGCGAGCGAGCGGAGAGCGAGCGAGGCGAGCGAGCGAGCGAGCGAGCGAGCGAGGAGCGAGCGAGCCAGCCAGCGAGCGAGCGAGGAGCGAGCGAGCGAGCGCGAGCGAGCGAGCGAGCGAGCGAGAGCGAGCGAGCGAGCGAGCGAGCGAGCGAGCGAGCCAGCGAGCGAGCAGCGAGCGAGCGAGCGAGCGAGCGAGCGAGCGAGCGAGAGAGCGAGCGAGCGAGCGAGCAGCGAGCGAGCGAGCGAGCGAGCGAGCGAGCGAGAGAGCGAGCGAGCGAGCGAGCGAGCGAGCGAGCGAGCGAGCGACGAGCGAGACGAGCGAGCGAGCGACGAGCGAGCGAGCGAGCGAGCGAGCGAGCGAGAGCGAGCGAGCGAGCAGCGAGCGAGCGAGCGAGCGAGCGAGCGAGCGAGGAGCGAGCGAGGAGCGAGCGAGCGAGGAGCGAGCGAGCGAGCGAGCGAGCGAGCGAGCGAGCGAGAGAGCGAGGGCGAGCGAGCCAGCGAGCGAGAGAGCGAGCGAGCGACGAGGAGCGAGGACGAGCGAGCGAGCGAGCGAGCGAGCGAGAGCGAGCGAGCGAGCGAGCGAGGAGCTAGCTATAGCGATCGATCTAGCTATCTATCTATCTATCTATCTATCTATCTATCTACTACTATCTATCTTTCTATCTATTTCTCTATCTTCTATCGTATTCCATAATGAAAATTTAAAACTTCAAGTATGCTATTTATTTATTTACAAATTTTATTTATTTGTTATATTTAAACATTTAAGGTCTTAAGCTGCTGCGATGTCGGCACAATTTGCTACAAAGCTTTTAAACTTATTTATTTTAAAATTAAATTTCATTACGGTCATTTTACTGCAAGTGTTTGGTAATGATCCATTCAAAGATGTTTCGGTTCGTTTTTTAAAATTCCATCCAGTTTAGACATACGTTGCTTCATTAAATTACCACAGATGACAGGCGTAGTGTCTTTATTATTGTATGCTGTCACTTTACATGTTCTATTATTTAAACGTATAATTTTTCCAGTTTTATCGGTTAGATCGGCACAATTCTTTAAAATGCTTTTAACATCATCGGTGGCCCCTACATGGCATGCGTCAAAATCGTGGGTGAAATCATTGACAGAATCCTCCAAACTACCCACTGCATTAATTAAACAGTTAATACCACCTAGGTTTTGTGCAGCTGTTTCCATATTTTCTATAAAGTCGTAAGGCTTCGAGCCTTGGACACTTGCCAAGACCAAGATTAAGGCAAAAAAGAAAAGCAATACTTTTTTGTACATGATTCAATTTTAAGATCGTTTTTGTATTACTGTGTTTCGTAGTAGAAATTTTTACGCTTAAATACATTTTTAGTTTGGTTTATTCTGCGTTTTAGAAATTTAATTAATTTTCTATTGTAATGTTTAATAATATGTATTTGCTAGATAATGAAAGTGTTTTTTCTGGAAATACTTTAAACATTTTTGTTATTATTTACAAATATTTGAGAATAAGTATTTGATTATAACACACAGGCCTACAACACAAATGGAAATTTGTTAATAAGGTCAGTTTTATATTGGAAAGTTACTTCTCTTCTTCTCACGACTTTTATTTTATTATATCAAGAATCACTTTCAAGGTGAACATTTTTGAATTAATTACAGATATCAAGCTCTTATTTGATAGTGGTTTATCTAATCTAAAGATAAATTTTAATTTGATTATAAAATACTGAAATATAATTGGAAATGGTGTAGTTATTTCAAAGTGTAATTATGTGTTAAGTTTCAGTGCTCATCTTGTTTTAGAAAATTATTATTAATTCAGTTATTTTTCAAAAGAGGCAATACTTGAATCCACGAAATATATGCGGAGAAACTGCAAACTGTAGTATACTTTATGGCTTATAACTGTTATATTAATATATTCTTTGAATGCCAATCAAGAATGGTTTTTACAAATCCCGGGATTCGTAATTTTTAAAACTTGTAGTTCTGTTTTAGTTCAGTTTTATTGTAGTTCCGTTCTAGTTCAATTCAGTTCTAGTCAATTTTCGTAATTCGTAATTTTTAACACTTCTATGAAGGGATTTTTTTAATTCCTTTAGTTAATTTGTTAGTTCTAGTTTAGTTTTAGTTCAGTTCTAGTTCAGTTCTAGTTCAGTTCTAGTTCAGTTCTAGTTCAGTTCTAGTTCAGTTCTAGTTCAGTTCGAGTTCAGTTCTAGTTCAGTTCTAGTTCAGTTCTAGTTCAGTTCTAGTTCAATTCTAGTTCAGTTCTAGTTCAGTTCTAGTTCAGTTCTAGTTCAGTTCTAGTTCAGTTCTAGTTCAGTTCTAGTTCAGTTCTAGTTCAGTTCTAGTTCAGTTCTAGTTCAGTTCTAGTTCAGTTCTAGTTCAGTTCTAGTTCAGTTCTAGTTCAGTTCTAGTTCAGTTCTAGTTCTAGTTCAGTTCTAGTTCAGTTCTAGTTCAGTTCTAGTTCAGTTCTAGTTCAGTTCTAGTTCAGTTCTAGTTCAGTTCTAGTTCAGTTCTAGTTCAGTTCTAGTTCAGTTCTAGTTCAGTTCTAGTTCAGTTCTAGTTCAGTTCTAGTTCAGTTCTAGTTCAGTTCTAGTTCAGTTCTAGTTCAGTTCTAGTTTAGTTCTAGTTCAGTTCTAGTTCAGTTCTAGTTCAGTTCTAGTTCAGTTCTAGTTCATTTCTAGTTCAGTTCTAGCTCAGTTCTAGTTCAGTTCTAGTTCAGTTCTAGTTCAGTTCTAGTTTAGTTCTAGTTCAGTTCTAGTTCAGTTCAGTTCTAGTTCAGTTCTAGCTCAGTTCTAGTTCAGTTCTAGTTCAGTTTTAGTTCAGTTTTAGTTCAGTTCTAGTTCAGTTCTAGTTCAAATGTTTCTAATGTTTTCTTTGAAAATTTATTAAGTAAAATAATTCATAATGTTTACTATATTTCATAATATTCCATTTGTTTCCTTATGACGCTGAATAACATATGGAACTATTGAACTTAACTTCAAAATATTTGCATTGTAGTCTGCTCGTGTATAAATATAAATATTTTTCTACTGACCACAACGTCTACGTTTACTTGATATAATTTCTTAATAATTTGAAAACCGTCGTATTTTCTTACTATAAATAAGAGGAAAATGTTATTGTACAGCATGACACTTTAGGCGATCATCTTCAAGTCAGCACTGTATCGGAGCAAAAAAAGTAAACATGAAATTGAAATTTCTAATCATATTCTTCATAGCAGTCCTTGCATTAGGATCAGCTAGTGATGGTGAAACCACCACCAAAAGTACAAATGATTCTACCTCATCTGATGATGAAACCGAAACTACCACAGATTCCAATACCACTGAAGCCTCTAATGAAACGACAACCAAACCTCCAACTTCAGGTGATGATGAAACGACAACCAAAACTCCAAACAACTCTGATACCACTGAATCCTCGACTGATAATAATACAACAACCAAAACTCCAACAGATACTGATACTACTGAATCTTCTAAAGGTGATGAAACAACAACCAAAGCTCCAACAGATACTGATACCACTGAATCTTCTACTGATGAAAAAACAACAACCAAAGCCCCAACAGATACTGATACTACTGAATCTTCTACTGGCGATGAAACAACGACCAAGGCTCCTACGGATACTGATACCACTGAATCTACTACAGATGATTCAAGCACCACAACTACCTCCACTACACCTGCACCACCATCCTTCGACAATAATGTAGATACTGCCACCGATAATTTACTTGGTATCAACTGTATGATCCAAGCCGTCTATACTATAGCTGATAATGCACCTAATTTTCAATATGACATTGGTTTATGCGGTTCAGCCATACAAACTTCTGCAGCTGATTTATTGGATAAAGTAAACGAACTTCAAACACGCACGTCCAAAGCTATACAAGCCAATGATAAAACCTGTAATAATGCCAATTTTAATCAAAATTCTGATGCCTCTAAAACGCCCTCCGATAAGTGTGTGACAAAAATTAAAAACACCATGGAAAAGCTAAATGATACGGTAGACAAAACTCTTACGAAAGTTAATAAATTATTTAATAAAACGAGCAATTTTTGTGCTAAGATGGCTCTTTTGAGATTCAGATTAACTCTGAATAATTTCAATGCCATGATTCAAGAATGTGCTAAAGTTGCGGGCGCTTAAATATTGTAAATTAAAGAATTCAAAATAAAGTTAAAAATGTACCATTCACTTTTTCGAAATCTTTGTTGTTTACAGATCTAGTCCAATTCTAGTTCAGTTCTAGTTCAGTTCTACTTCAGTTCTAGTTCAGTTCTAGTTCAGTTCTAGTTCAGTTCTAGTTCAGTTCTAGTTCAGTTCTATTTCAATTTTATTTCAGTTCTATTTCAGTTCTAGTTCAGTTCTAGTTCAGTTCTAGTTCAATTCTAGTTCAGTTCTAGTTCACTTCTAGTTCAGTTCTAGTTCAATTCTAGTTCAGTTCTAGTTCAGTTCTAGTTCAGTTCTAGTTCAGTTCTAGTTCAGTTCTAGTTCTAGTTCAGTTCTAGTTCAGTTCTAGTTCAGTTCTAGTTCAGTTCTAGTTCAGTTCTAGTTCAGTTCTAGTTCAGTTCTAGTTCAGTTCTAGTTCAGTTCTAGTTCAGTTCTAGTTCAGTTCTAGTTCAGTTCTAGTTCAGTTCTAGTTCAGTTCTAGTTCAGTTCTAGTTCAGTTCTAGTTCAGTTCTAGTTCAGTTCTAGTTCTAGTTCAGTTCTAGTTCAGTTCTAGTTCTAGTTCAGTTCTAGTTCAGTTCTAGTTCAGTTCTAGTTCAGTTCTAGTTCAGTTCTAGTTCAGTTCTAGTTCAGTTCTAGTTCAGTTCTAGTTCTAGTTCAGTTCTAGTTCAGTTCTAGTTCAGTTCTAGTTCTAGTTCAGTTCTAGTTCAGTTCTAGTTCAATTCTAGTTCAGTTCTAGTTCAGTTCTAGTTCAGTTCTAGTTCAGTTCTAGTTCAGTTCTACTTCAGTTCTAGTTCAGTTCATTCCTAATTCAGTTCTAGTTCAGTTCATTCCTAATTCAGTTCTAGTTCAGTTCATTGCTAGTTCAGTTCTAGTTCAGTTCTAGTTCAGTTCTAGTTCAGTTCTAGTTCAGTTCTAGTTCAGTTCTAGTTCAGTTCTAGTTCAGTTCTAGTTCAGTTCTAGTTCAGTTCTAGTTCAGTTCTAGTTCAGTTCTAGTTCAGTTCTAGTTCAGTTCTAGTTCAGTTCTAGTTCAGTTCTAGTTCAGTTCTAGTTCAGTTCTAGTTCAGTTCTAGTTCAGTTCTAGTTCAGTTCTAGTTCAGTTCTAGTTCAGTTCTAGTTCAGTTCTAGTTCAGTTCTAGTTCAGTTCTAGTTCAGTTCTAGTTCAGTTCTAGTTCAGTTCTAGTTCAGTTCTAGTTCAGTTCTAGTTCAGTTCTTCTAGTTCAGTTCTAGTTCAGTTCTAGTTCAGTTCTAGTTCAGTTCTAGTTCAGTTCTAGTTCAGTTCTAGTTCAGTTCTAGTTCAGTTCTAGTTCAGTTCTAGTTCAGTTCTAGTTCAGTTCTAGTTCAGTTCTAGTTCAGTTCTAGTCAGTTCTAGTTCAGTCTAGTTCAGTTCTAGTTCGGTTCTAGTTCGGTTCTAGTTCAGTTCTAGTTCAGTTCTAGTTTAGTTCTAGTTCGGTTCTAGTTCAGTTCTAGTTCAGTTCTAGTTCAGTTCTAGTTCAGTTCTAGTTCAGTTCTAGTTCAGTTCTAGTTCAGTTCTAGTTTTGTTCTAGTTCAGTTCTTGTTCAGTTCTGGTTTAGATCTAGTTCAGTTCTAGTTTAGTTCTAGTTCAGTTCTAGTTCAGTTTTAGTTAGGATTGACGAACGATTTGGACATACATTGGAATAAGTCTGAAAATGTCTAAAGTACTTTAGAGTATTTATTGAATCTGAATTTTCATAAATTTGTTTAGTAATACTCCTTTAATTTTTAAAATACAATCGTAAATATAAGATTTATTATTCTTTTAAAATTTCAATCTATTTAATACTAATTCTAATATTAATTTTACTTTATTTATCTTGTATTTTTTCAGTACGAAGTTACGATAATCATGCCAAATGTGGTTTAGTTTGGGTGCCACACGTGGTGGCCTATAGATGTCGTACTTGCGGCATATCACCGTGTATGTCTATATGTCGAGACTGTTTCAAAAAAGGTGATCATACGAATCACGACTTCAATATGTTTCTATCACAAGCAGGCGGTGCCTGTGATTGTGGCGATACGTCAGTAATGAAAGCTGAAGGCTTCTGCAGTGATCATGGCATTAACAATCGTGTCAATAAAGAACCCGTACCAGCGAATCTTTTAGCAGTTGCCGAGGCCATAATGCCAAAATTATTATTTCGTCTTTTACAACATTTTCGCGAACACAGTGACGCCACGTCACAGTCATTCATCGTGGTTGCCCAACTATGTGAACTATTTACGAATATGCTAATCGATTTGAATAATATGGGCGAAATAATGCGTAAAGTAATGACGAGGGCACTCATCAGTCAAGAGGTCTATAAACAATTCGCTGATGTCAATTGTCTTAGTAGTAGACATGCACGAGTCTTAAAAAAGAATCGTGAAAAATATGAAGAGGCTGTTAATCGTTTCCCTAGGCCAGAACCTCCTGATGATTATAAACATTTGCCGGCACTGGGAGAGAAGCTGGTGCACACTACCCTGCTGGAGGAGTTTATATTTTGGACATTTAAATTTGAATTTCCACAAAATTTAGTATGTTTCCTACTCAACATGTTGCCCGATCAAGACTATAAGGTACACTTGACCAGAACTTTCGTAATGCACTATAGTCGCATACCATCGGTATTGGAAATGTCTAGAGATCCGGATACGTTAAGTAATCGCGTGGTACACATGAGTGTACAATTATTTTCCAATGAAAGTTTAGCTTTAAAAATGGTTAATGAATTATCGCTGCTGCATGTGATGATAATAAGTTTAAAACTAATGATGTCCAAGATACTCATACAAAATACTTTACATGGTAAATTATTAAATTTTAAACTTAATAACAATTATTAATAATTTTTTTTTTTTTTGTTCTTTAATAGACCCTAAGAAAAATTTCCATTTTGTTATCGATTGCACCCGCCAAGTTATGAAAGATCATTGTTATTGGCCATTAGTGTCTGATTTTAATAATGTTCTTTCCCATGAATCAGTGGCTTTGGTTTTTCTGCGTGATGACAATCTTATCGATATGTGGTTTCAATTTCTTTCCATGCTGCAGGGCATGAATGTGAATGTTCGTGAAACTGCTTCACATGTAGAATTTGAACCCAATTCATATTATGCTGCTTTTTCATGTGAACTGGAAGCCAGTGCTTATCCAATGTGGTCAATTATTTCACATCTCCAAGATGGTAAACATGCTCATTTGGCTAAAAAGATTATTACGTATTGTGTTAATATGCTGCATGAATGGTTGGATGCCATTTATTTTCCAGAACCAAAAATTTCCCAAGTAAGTTTTAGAGTTATTGATTTACAGATAAAATGGTTTTAATTTGTTTTTAATTTTGTTTAATTTAAGGAGGAAATGTTGCAAGCTTCATTTCATTTTCCCTTACATCGTTATTTGGCCGCTTTTGTTTGTCAAGCTGTTACTAAAATGGGCATGTCACTGTCGGAAGTTTTACCCACCAGATCATATATTTTACCTTTATTGATGATGCATCCTTTAAGAGTGCAGGTGAGTTATAAATTTAAATTTTTTTATTACATATTTATTTTAATACATAAAAGAAAGCTGTTTAAAGTTTAAATTTCTAGTTTAGTTCTATGTCTGTTCTACTTCAATTCTAGTTCAGTTCTAGTTCAGTTCTAGTTCAGTTCTAGTTCAGTTCTAGTTCAGTTCTAGTTCAGTTCTAGTTCAGTTCTAGTTCAGTTCTAGTTCAGTTCTAGTTCTAGTTCAGTTCTAGTTCAGTTCCAGTTCAGTTCTAGTTCTAGTTCAGTTCTAGTTCAGTTCTAGTTCAGTTCTAGTTCAGTTCTAGTTCAGTTCTAGTTCAGTTCTAGTTCAGTTCTAGTTCAGTTCTAGTTCAGTTCTAGTTCAGTTCTAGTTCAGTTCTAGTTCAGTTCTAGTTCAGTTCTAGTTCAGTTCTAGTTCAGTTCTAGTTCAGTTCTAGTTCAGTTCTAGTTCAGTTCTAGTTCAGTTCTAGTTCAGTTCTAGTTCAGTTCTAGTTCAGTTCTAGTTCAGTTCTAGTTCAGTTCTAGTTAAGTTCTAGTTAAGTTCTAGTTCAGTTCTAGTTCAGTTCTAGTTCAGTTCTAGTTCAGTTCTAGTTCAGTTCTAGTTCAGTTCTAGTTCAGTTCTAGTTCAGTTCTAGTTCAGTTCTAGTTCAGTTCTAGTTCAGTTCTAGTTCAGTTCTAGTTCAGTTCTAGTTCAGTTCTAGTTCAGTTCTAGTTCAGTTCTAGTTCAGTTCTAGTTCAGTTCTAGTTCAGTTCTAGTTCAGTTCTACTTCAGTTCTAGTTCAGTTCTAGTTCAGTTCTAGTTCAGTCCTAGTTCAGTTCTAGTTCGGTTCTAGTTCAGTTCTAGTTCAGTTCTAGTTCAGGTTCAGTTCTAGTTCAGTTCTAGTTCAGTTCTAGTTCAGTTCTAGTTCAGTTCTAGTTCAGTTCTAGTTCAGTTCTAGTTCAGTTCTAGTTCAGTTCTAGTTCAGTTCTAGTTCAGTTCTAGTTCAGTTCTAGTCCAGTTCTACTTCAGTTCTAGTTCAGTTCTAGTTCAGTTCTAGTTCAGTTCTAGTTCAGTTCTAGTTCAGTTCTAGTTCAGTTCTAGTTCAGTTCTAGTTCAGTTCTAGTTCAGTTCTAGTCCAGTTCTACTTCAGTTCTAGTTCAGTTCTAGTTCAGTTCTAGTTCAGTTCTAGTTCTGTTCTAGTTCAGTTCACGTTCTTAAGCTCAAGCTTAAAATTTTATTAAAAAGTTCACACTTCAATTGTTGTAAGTGAATCAAAAGTTTATAATTTGTTTCTAATTTGCTAGTGGAATAAGTAGTTATACCACAAAAAAATTTGTATTTTGGATAAAGCTTGAAATTTTTATTGACGTATTGAAACATTAACATTATTTTTTACAAAATCTAAACTTTAATTCTCTTTTTTATTTTACTTTACAACATTAGTATTTAAAGGATATAAAAAATTGGAATTTACCCTAATGTTTGTAAACGAGGAGCAAAATCATAAGTTATAATCTTCGGAGCTAAAAATCCCCCATAACCTTGTTCACCTTTGTAATAGATACCAATACCAGCCAAAGGCACTGGAGGTTTAGAAACGACATCTTGTATATCTATAAAGGGTATATTAGTTTGAGAAACATCTTTTTCTAAACTAGAAACGGAAAATTTCAAATATTGATTTGGTCCAAAATTCGGTTCAGATTTGCCAGTAGAATGAATGGGTATATCACCATCACGTAAAACAATTTCGTTTCTAAAAAAAAATTGATCATTAATATGTAAATGGGTTAAAAATGCCAATATTTAGGTACCTTCTGAACTCACTGATGTCATTAATTTTCCAATAACTAATTTCTTTGGGATTTACCAATTGACCACTAGCATAATTAAATTTACTTAATCTGGCTTGTAAATTCAAATGTGCTCCCACCACCTGAAAACGTACACCCGTTACCACATAATTTTCATCATAGGTTTCTATATTATCCAAATCAATGGAACGAGCATCATAAGTTAAGGTGAAATAATCTTGATTCTGAAGAACTCCTCTTTCGTAGATTGTATAGTTATCTACTGGTTTCCAGGTCAAAGTTGATTCATTTATCATACCTCTGGGCATAAGTTGTCCCTCTTGTATTTGCAAATGAAATACACGATTTACTTTAGTAAAACGTAAACCGGTTACAACTCTAGATTAAAAATCAAAAATTTATTTAAATAGTTTAGTTTTGAAATAAGTTTTGAACCTACTTATTGTCATCGATATTTGAAAGAGTTTCTCGTAAATTAAAATAACGATCCGTTTTAATGCTGTTCTGATCATCACAAAAGCATATACAATAACTACACTCCCATACTACATAACGCATCCACGAATTTGCCTGAAAATTATGTAAATAATTTAAATTTTTATATTTTAATAAGCTTTGAGAACTAATGTTTTTTTACCAACCTCTGATTCACCACGCTGACAGTGAGCTTGCTTACCAATAGTTTGGCCATTATACTTTAGGTATTCATATCGTCGAAGACTTTCAAATGCCTTAAAATGAAATCACATTTAACAAATATTTTCCCAAAGAAATCTAAAGAGTCCTTTCTTACTTACCGAAGGACATGCTGTTATATAGCCACTAGCATAATAACAATCATGTATTTGACCCGAACAACGTTCCTGTTTGGCACAAAACTGATCCATATAACAACCCACATTGCTTGTGCGTCCATAAGCCGAACATGATTGCATACAATCACGACTAGAACTCATATCAACTTCATTCTCAATATAAGCCTGTAATAGACGTGTCACCCGTTCATAAGTTTCACCCTCAATATAACGCTCAGGATCACAACGCCAAACCATGCGATCAGCTTTTTGCATTAATTTGTATAATTGGCGCCCTGTTTGCTCCGAACGTTTTTCATAATTTTTACGCATAATTTCGGCTTCTTGTGAGAAATTTCCTACAAAGTTCATTTACATTTAATGATATAATTGTTATTTGTTGGTATTTTCAATATGTTTTCCCTCGACTTGTTCTCACTCACCCTTGTTATACACACTTAAGATTAACCATGATACTTCTAGCAGGGTATAGGCTTTAAGTTCCGTTAATGCAATATACGTGTATAGAGAATATATAAATTGTTGGGTAGATTGTTGATTCAAACATTTTTCTTCTTTCTTTAAAACAAATGGCGAAATATATCAATAATTAATTTTATTTTTAACAAATAATTCTTAAAAATTAACCTTATAACTTGACACCAAAAATTCAAAAAGATTAGAGTAAAGTTTATTGCTCTCTTGATCATTTTGATCGAAAATTTTCCTATGCCAATTATCCATTAAATGTTGGACAGCGAAGCCATTTGGTGCTACAGTCCATTCGGCAAATGTTAACAATGTTGTGGGGTCCAAGTTAATATTATGCACTAAAAATTGTTGGAATTCTTTAAAACGCTGCGCCACATTATGTGTTGTATTTATAAAGTCTTTCGATTTTGCCAACAATTGTAAATTAATAAAATTATTATTAACAGAATGCTGCAGAAATAAAAAATCCACAACTATAAAACAATTTTTTTGGATTAAATTTATTTTTTCAAAATACCTTTTTCTCGATAACATTTATATCATTATTAAGTTCAGTGAAAAGTTTTAAAATCTGTAATAAATTACTTTGAGATTCTTGACTATTATTTTCCACTGTATACCAGCACTCTGAAAAATCCGTTGTTGCTTCATTGACTACACTAATGACGTCTTTACTCGCTGAAATAGATCCAACCAGTTGTAGAATAGAAATCGATAAGGTTTCTGGTATAAAAGTTAATATTAATAGTATAAAGCCTAGATGTGGCTTTAAAGATCTTTTTAATATCATTTTTTTATATTTAATTTAATCCAAAAAGAATTTTAAATGCAAATTTTTAATTCATATAATATGAATTGTTTTGAAGTTTATTGAAATTTTTTATAACTGTATATATTTTTCAACCGTTGTTCGCTCCTATATTGACCGTTTATTACAATTAGACTATTGTGCTTTGTATGATTTATATTTATCAGCAGCTCAAAACATTGTGGCTCAGAGATGGGAAAGCGAAAATTTTAAAATACATAGTATTGAAGTGAATTATGGTAATTTTTTTCAAGTATGTACTGAACCAATATAAACAATATGATTAAGGGATTGGGTGAATCGATATGATAGTAACCAAGCAGTATCAAGCAGTCTGCTAGTTATACCAGTCTGCAAGTAATCGTGAGTTCTTTTAATAGATAAATCGATATATAGATAAATGGATCAATAGATAACTTAATTAATAAATAAAAGTAGCAATAGATGAATGGAACAATAGGTAAATAACTGGATAAATGGTTAAATAACTTGATAAATGGATAAATAACTGGACAAATGGATATATAACTGGACAAATGGATAAATAACTGGATAAATTTATATATAACTGCATAAATGGATAAATAACAGGATAAGAGGATAAATAACTGAACAAATGGATAAATAGATGATAGATTGTTAGATAGATTGGTAGATATATGGGTAGATAGATTGGTAGATAGATTGGTAGATAGATTGGTAGATAGATTGGTAGATAGATTGGTAGATAGATTGGTAGATAGATTGGTAGATAGATTGGTAGATAGATTGGTAGATAGATTGGTAGATAGATTGGTAGATTGATTGGTAGATAGATTGGTAGATAGATTTGTAGATAGATTGGTAGATAGATCGGTAGATAGGTCGGTAGGTAGATCGGTAGATATATCGGTAGAATAGATTGGTAGATAAATCGGTAGATAGATCGTTAGATAGATAGATAGATAGATAGATAGATAGATAGATAGATAGATAGATATATAGATAGATAGATAGATAGGATAGATAGATAGATAGATAGATAGGATAGATAGGATAGATAGGTAGTAGAATAGATAGAGTAGATAGATGATAGATAGATAGATAGATAGATAGATAGATAGAAGATAGATAGATAGATAGATAGATAGATAGATAGATAGTAGATAGATAGATAGATAGATAGATAGATATTAGATAGTAGATAGTAGATAGCTAGATAGATAGATAGATAGATAGATAGATAGTGATAGATAGGATAGATAGATCGATAGATAGATAGATAGATAGATAGATAGATGATAGATAGATAGATAGATAGATAGATAGATAGATAGATAGATAGATAGATAGATAGATAGGATAGATAGATAGATAGATAGATAGATAGATAGATAGATAGATAGATAGATAGATAGATAGATAGATAGATAGATAGATAGATAGATAGATAGATAGATAGATAGATAGATAGATAGATAGATAGATAGATAGATAGATAGATATATAGATAGGATAGATAGATAGATAGATAGATAGATAGATAGATAGATAGATAGATAGATAGATAGATAGATAGATAGATAGATAGATAGATAGATAGATAGATAGATAGATAGATAGATAGATAGATAGATAGATAGATAGATAGATAGATAGATAGATAGATAGATAGATAGATAGATAGATAGATAGATAGATAGATAAATAGATAAATAGATAGATAGATAGATAGATAGATAGATAGATAGATAGATAGATAGATAGATAGATAGATAGATAGATAAATAGATAGATAGATAGATAGATAAATAGATAAATAGATAGATAGATAGATAGATAGATAGATAGATAGATAGATAGATAGATAGATAGATAGATAGATAGATAGATAGATAGATAGATAGATAGATAGATAGATAGATAGATAGATAGATAGATAGATAGATAGATAGATAGATAGATAGATAGATAGATAGATAGATAGATAGATAGATAGATAGATAGATAGATAGGTAGATAGATAGATAGATAGATAGATAGATAGATAGATAGATAGATAGATAGATAGATAGATAGATAGATAGATAGATAGATAGATAGATAGATAGATAGATAGATAGATAGATAGATAGATAGATAGATAGATAGATAGATAGATAGATATATAGATAGATAAATAGATAGATGGATAGATAAGAAAGTCGAAAATACACGAATGTTTAAAAAATTGTATAAGAAAGCTAAAGTTTTCCTCAAAAAGAAATTTGAACAAATACTATGGTGCTGCGTTTTCCATTCCTGTGATTAATCATTTTTATATATTACATACTTTATTACACATACCACAGGTTTATATAATGCATAAGTATGCACACATTTAATTAATAACACTAGACTACAACAAAAAATTGTGTCTAATTTCATAATTTTATTGTTGTTTACCATCCCTGTAGTAAATATTTTTAATATACTCGCATAAGTAGTGATATAAGTGTAAAAGCTAGGAACTGTAACGTTAATAAATTTTTATTAAAAATATTACATTTAAATGATTACTTTCTAAGTTTTTTTTTTTTGCTTAGAGATTAAAAGGTCTTTCTATAGAGTCTTTTACATAGAAAGCATTATATACAAAAAAGCTTAATTTAATTTTTACTAGCTGTATAAATATGCGGAGCAAAATCATAAGTCATAAGTTTTGGAGCTAAAAATCCACCATAACCTTGTCTACTTTTGTGATAAATACCAATACCAGCCAAAGGCACAGGAGGTTTTGATACAACATCTTGTATGTCTATAAAAGGTATATTAGTTTGAGAGACATCTTTTACCAAACTAGAAACGGAAAATTTCAAATATTGATTATTAACAGAATCTGGTTCTGATTTGCCAGCAGAACGTATGGGTATATCACGATCACGAAGAACAATTTCATTTCTAGAAATTAAACAAGTGTTTATTCACTAAATAGTTTTAGAAAATTTTACATATTTACCTCCTAAATTCACTTATATCGTTAATTTTCCAATAACTATTTTCCTGTGGACTAAGCAATTGACCCGTTTCAAAATCAAATTTACTTAATCTGGCTTGTAAATTCAAATGTGAGTGCAAAAGCTGAAAACGTACACCTGTCACCACATAATTCTCATCAAAAGTTTCTATATTATCCAAATCAATGGAACGAGCATCATAAGTTAAGGTAAAATAATCTTGATTAGGTAAAACTCCTCTTTCATAGAGTGTATAATTATCTACTCGTTTCCAGGCTAAAGTTGATTCATTTATCATACCTCTGGGCAAAAGTTGACCCTCTTGTATTTGCAAATGAAATACACGATTTGCTTTAGTAAAACGTAAACCGGTCACAACCCTATATTGAGAATTAAAATTTATTTAAATTGTTTAGTTTTGTAATAAGATTTAAACCTACTTATTGTCATTGACATTTGAAAGAGTTTCTCGTAAATTGAAATAACGATCTGTTTTGATACTGTTCTGATCATCACAAAGGCATATACAATAACTGCACTCCCAAAATACATAACGCATCCATGAATTGGCCTGAAAAACAATTGTAAATTAATATTTTGTAGAATTAACATGCCAACAGAATTATGTTTCAGAAGTTTTCTAACCTCTGCTTCACCACGTTGACAGTAATAGTTATATCCAAGAGTTACTTCATCATATTTAACATATTCATAACGACGAAGACTATCAAGGGCCTTAAAAATTAAATAATATTGATTTCCACAATTAGTTGTTGTAGAAAACCCCTAACGATTCCTACTTACCGAAGGACACGCTGTTATATACCCACTAGCATAATAACAATCATGTATTTGACCCGTGCAACGTTCTTGTTTAGCACAAAACTGATCCATATAACAACCCTCATTCTTAGTACGTCCATAAGCCGAACATGATTGCATACAATCGCGACTCGAACTCATATCAACTTCATTCTCAATGTAAGCCTGTAATAGCCGAGTCACTTGTTCGTATGTTTTACCCTCAACATATCGCTCGGGATCACAACGCCAAACAATACGATCGGCACGATCCATTACCTCATGTAAACGGCGCACAGTTTTTTCCGAACGCTTTTCATAATTTTTACGCATAATTTCAGCTTCTTGTGTGAAATTTCCTAGAATATGTTGGAAAAGTTTTTTTAGCTGAAAATTTTTGTTTTTTTTTTTTTTGTCTCTTTGCACTCACCCTTGCCGTAGGCTCTTAAGATTATCCAGGAGAATTCTAACATTATGTATGCTTTAAGTTCCGTTAGAGCAATATCCGTGTACAATGAATATATAAATTGTTGGGTAGATTGTTGATTTAAACATTTTTCCGCTTTCTTTAAAATAAAAATTGTTTAATAAAGTCTATAGTCTATAGTCTAGTCTATAGTCTAGTCTATAGTCTAGTCTATAGTCTAGTCTATAGTCTAGTCTATAGTCTAGTCTATAGTCTAGTCTATAGTCTAGTCTATAGACTAGTCTATAGTCTAGTCTATAGTCTAGTCTATAGTCTAGTCTATAGTCTAGTCTATAGTCTAGTCTATAGTCTAGTCTATAGTCTAGTCTATAGTCTAGTCTATAGTCTAGTCTATAGTCTAGTCTATAGTCTAGTCTATAGTCTAGTCTATAGTCTAGTCTATAGTCTAGTCTATAGTCTAGTCTATAGTCTAGTCTATAGTCTAGTCTATAGTCTAGTCTATAGACTAGTCTATAGTCTAGTCTATAGTCTAGTCTATAGTCTAGTCTATAGTCTAGTCTATAGTCTAGTCTATAGTCTAGTCTATAGTCTAGTCTATAGTCTAGTCTATAGTCTAGTCTATAGTCTAGTATATAGTCTAGTCTATAGTCTAGTCTATAGTCTAGTCTATAGTCTAGTCTATAGTCTAGTCTAATCTATAGTCTAGTCTATAGTCTAGTCTATAGTCTAGTCTATAGTCTAGTCTAATCTATAGTCTAGTCTATAGTCTAGTCTATAGTCTAGTCTATAGTCTAGTCTATAGTCTAGTCTATAGTCTAGTCTATAGTCTAGTCTATAATCTAGTCTATAGTCTAGTCTATAGTCTAGTCTATAATCTAGTCTATAGTCTAGTCTATAGTCTAGTCTATAGTCTAGTCTATAGTCTAGTCTATAGTCTAGTCTATAGTCTAGTCTATAGTCTAGTCTATAGTCTAGTCTATAGTCTAGTCTATAGTCTAGTCTATAGTCTAGTCTATAGTCTAGTCTATAGTCTAGTCTATAGTCTAGTCTAGTCTAGTCTATAGTCTAGTCTATAGTCTAGTCTATAGTCTATTCTATAGTCTAGTCTGTAGTCTAGTCTATAGTCTAGTCTATAGTCTAGTCTATAGTCTAGTCTATAGTCTAGTCTATAGTCTAGTCTATAGTCTAGTCTATAGTCTAGTCTATAGTCTTAGTCTATTGTCTAGTCTATAGTCTAGTCTATAGTTCTAGTCTATAGTCTAGTCTATAGTCTAGTCTATAGTCTAGTCTATAGTCTAGTCTATAGTCTAGTCTATAGTCTAGTCTATAGTCTAGTCTATAGTCTAGTCTATGGTCTAGTCTATGGTCTAGTCTACAGTCTAGTCTATAGTCTAGTCTATTGTCTAGTCTATAGTCTGGTCTATAGTCTAGTCTATAGTCTAGTCTGTAGTCTAGTCGATAGTCTAGTCTATAGTCAATTTTATAGTCTAGTCTATAGTCTAGTCTATAGTCTATTTTATAGTCTAGTCTATAGTCTAGTCTATAGTCTAGTCTATAGTCTAGTCTATAGTCTAGTCTATAGTCTAGTCTATAGTCTAGTCTATAGTCTAGTCTATAGTCTATAATCTATAGTCTATAGTCTAGTCTACAGTCTAGTCTACAGTCTAGTCTACAGTCTAGTCTAGTCTAGTCTATAGTCTAGTCATGTCTAGTCTATAGTCTAGTCTTTAGTATAGTCTAGTCTACAGTCTAGTCTATAGTCTAGTCTATAGTCTAGTCTATAGTCTAGTCTATAGTCTAGTCTATAGTCTAGTTTATAGTCTAGTCTATAGTCTAGTATATATTCTAGTCTATAATCTAGTCTATAGTCTAGTCTATAATCTAGTCTATAGTCTTGTCGATAATCTAGTCTATAGTCTAGTCTATAGCCTTTTCTTAAATCTAATATATAGTTTAGTCTATAGACTAGTTTAGTATGTAGTCTATAGTATAGCCTAGAATATAGACTAGTCTAGTATTTTGGGAATAGTATAGTCTACTGTATAGTCCTTATTCTGTTATACAGTCTAGTCTATAGTTTAATCTATATCCCAGTCTTTAGTAGAGTCTAGAGGTCTAAGAAATAATTGTATGTATTAAACAAATATGTTACCCCATAACTTGAAATCAACATATCAAAAATATTTGAACTCGGTCTATTAGCCTTATCATCTGAACCGAACATAGTCAAATGTAAACGATCCATTAAATGATAAACCGAAAAACCATTTGGCGAAGCAGTCCATTCGGCAAATGACATCAATGTCGACGGCTCGATATTATCCAAATGGACAGCATATTCTTGCATTTCCTGAAAACGTGCTGTAATAGCATTAATGGTATTGGTAATATCATTATGTTTTGCCACCAATTGTAAATTAATGAAATTATTAACTGGTTCAGAATGCTGTAAAAAATAAAAATAATCAATTCAAAATCTTAGATAAAAACTTAAAAAATACCTTATTTTCAATATAACTGATATTATTGCCAACTTCATTGAAACGTCTTAGAATCAGGGGTAAATTATTATTTGATCCTTGATTATTATTTTCGGCAAATGACCAGGCCTCTGAAACTGTTTCTTTGACATCTTTAATTATGCTAATAATGTCTTTAACCGCTGCAATTGCAGCAACAACAGTTTCCACAGCAAACGATGAGGAATTTTCAGGTGTAGATATTAATACAATTGTGAATAGTAAAAAGCCCAGACCAGCCCATCCACATTCTTGTAGTTTCATTTTGTTTATAAATTTCTAAAGTAATTAAACAAAAATTATGCGCTTCTAATGGCAAGTTTTTCTTTAGAATTCAAAAGGTTCATAAGATTATCAATATATGTACTTGTCTATTTTATACATAGTTATTTAAATATTTGAGATTATGTTCTGATTGTTTTAATTATGGCAATTTCTCAAATTTCTTTAAACTATATTTTAATTCCAAAAGTTTTTCACAGTACACATTCATTTATGATTGTTTCAAAAATAAGTTGAAAATTCAATTTTTAAAAAATTTTTCATACAAATTCTTTGTTTGCCGTTAAATTTCCCGTGTATTACTTATTTTCAACCCTTCTGATCATGGATTTATTTTGATTGTAGTATATCTGTATACATATAATAGATCTGTATTGATCGTTGTCTAGACCTCGACTGTTTTGCATAAAATGAATAAATAGTCTTTATCATTAGCTAAAATCGTATGTTAAAAATAAAATTTTTTAATCGACATATCATTAGAAATTCTGCGAAATATTTTGACATGCAGTTAGTCCCGACTGGGGTTGTAATGTCATCTCAAAAGAGATACAACTGAGATTAAACCTTTATTTTAAAGTCAACACATTTGACTTATGGATGAAATTAAACATTTTATAAATTAAAATTTCTTCGCGCTGTTATAACGTTTCAAATATGGGGGGTACGGGGGTTTTTCGATTTTATGGACACAAACAATATCTCTGACTTATTAATGCTATTTGGCGATAAAATTTGATTTAAATATAATATTTGAAAACTTCATAATAGATCCCATCCAGTTTACAAGGTCTCTTTGATAGAAATCAGTTTTTGCCTTCAGAACAAATCGCCAAGAAATGTTCAGTGGGATGTTAGTAATTCTAAAGTTTTACTATTAATTATACATACACAGAAAAAAATAATTTATAATTGGAATGAATTTTGTTATAAATACTATGAATCGAACATTAATTTTTTTTCTCAAACCATTTTCTTTCAGAATGTAAAAAGTTCATAAATAGTATTATTTAATAAAAATAATTAAAATAATTTAAGTCAAGGATTTTAGATTTTGTTAAAAAAAGAAGAATTCATACTATTTAACAAATTATTCTTAATAAGGTTCTATAAATCGACTTTCGAATAATCGAACAATCGACATTTTGTCGAAAAAAGTCGAAGTCGACTATTTTGTTCCAAAAAAGTCGATAACTCGACTATGGTCTGTGAAAAAAGTCGAAAAGTCTGAAAGTCGAAAAAAGTCGATAAGTCTAAAAAACTCGAATAAAGTCGAAAAAAGTCGTAAAAAGTCGAAAAGTCGGAAAAAGTCGAAAAGTCGGAAAAAGTCGAAAACTCGAGAATTGTAGAAACAAGTCAAAAATATTCGAAAATTCTAAAAAAGTTGAAAAAGGAGTAAAAAACTCTAATATAGTCGGAAAAACTCGAAAAAAGTCAAAAAATAGTAGAAAAAAAGTCGAAAATAGTCAAAAAGTCGAAAAAATCGAAAAGTCGGAAAAAGTCAAAAAGTCGAAAAAAGTCGAAAAATCGAAAAAAGTCGAAAAGTCAAAAAAATTCGAAAAGTCGAAAAGTCGACTATTTATAAAATACTTATAGTCTAAAAATCGACTTTTAATTAAATGAAAAAAGTGTAAAAATCTACTTTTCATAAAATGCAAAAAGTCGAGAAGTCGAAAAGTCGACTTTTAACTAAATAAAAAAAGTCGAAAAGTCGACTTTTTGTTTCAACTATAGAACCCTAATTCTTAATTATTATTAACTTTAGTCAAAGACAATGTTTATATTATTTATATTGAAACTTTTCTCTGTGTACTGAGTTATAGCATTCCTCTTCCCCCATCTTGAACTATCAGTTTAATGGGCAAAACATTATATGAATTTTATAGCTAAACATTTCATTACTATCAGGTAAATAATCTTATATATATGAGAGATTTCATATTAAGTGCAAATTTCGGTATGAAATTTCTACCGAAATTTCCATAGAAGTTTAAAAACGAATTTTCAACAGATCGGTCAAAAACTATATACTTTGAATTCGCTAATATCTGTAGTATGAATTTCAAAGTCTAACTTTTGCGACTTCGAAAAATGTTCAGTTATTAGTATAATAACCTAAAAAGGATATTTTTAGCCTTTATTGATTAAATGTCTTTTCAATTTTAATGGTATTATCAATTTTAACGTTATTATCAGTAATAACTCTTCAAAAAAATATAAAGGCCACGCCCACATAATTTGCTGGTTTTGAGAATTCTCTTTTGGTCACTGATTAAAACGTTTTTTTTAATCAGCTTAACAAAAATATCTATAATTTTTGTATTGACCACGCCCACTTTTAAAATTTCGAAAAATATACTACTATTGAATTTAAAATAACTATTATCAAAAAGTTGTAAATATCTGTATACATTAAAAAGTTTTACTCAATTAATAAAAAAATTAAAGCGAAAAGTGGGCGTAATGTTTGTTTGTGGGCATGGTTATCTTACTAATTCTATTAGATTATGATATAAATTTTAATATATTTTAAAAATACGTTGTAAAATTATTTTTTTTTCACTTAAATTCATAAATTTTCTATATACAAAGTAGGCGTGTCCTTATTATAACTACTACTACTACTACTTATTTAAAACAATTTGATCTTATAAGACTTAATTCTGTTTGTCTATTTTTAAATTATTTATTTTTATTGTAATCAAGAAGTGGGCGTGGGTATGTTATAACCGCTCCCTTTTTTGGTGAATTTAAATACTTTATACGAAGTCTAATCAATAAGAGGGTGTGGGTATGTTATAACCGCCCCCTTTTTTGGTGAATTTAAATACTTGACACGAAGTCTATACTAAAATGTTATAAATGTGTTCATTGCTAAGAAATCAAAGAATTTTAAATCTGATATTATTCCTCAGAATCCCTTAAAGTAAATATTGCACTTATTTTCAAGATTTTAATACTTTTTATTGGTATTTATTAAGATTTTTTTTTATACTCTTACTACATTACTACAGAATTACGACTTATTCGTTAAAAATACAATATTCAAAATTGTAGCAAAATCATTAAATGTATGCTTACATTGATTTCTAATATTTCCAATATATATTTTTAAAGTAATTTCTATATTTGGCATTTTGTTAATGCTTTTTTTTTTCATATGATTTAATTACTCACAATTATGCTTTTTGTTTTTATGTTTATTAAACATTATGCTTAAATTTAAAGAATATATTTTAATTTATAAAAAATATTAAATAAAATTATAATAGATTCAATTATTTTGTTCGTTCTACTAGGGCGTTAATAAAAAAAAAATGTTCAAAAAATTTTACGACAAAATAAATGAGAATAAAAGAGATACCGAGATAATATATAGTAAAGATTTATATGTATAATAAAGAATGCTTAGAGAAAACATAAAGGAAATTTTAAGTTCTACGAGGTGTATGAATATGCGGAGCAAAATCATAAGTCATAAGTTTGGGAGCCAAAAAGCCACCAAAACCAGGTCTACCCTTATGGTAGATGCCGATGCCAGCCAAAGGCACTGAGGGCTTAGAGACCACATCTTGTATGTCTATAAAGGGTACAGTGGATTGTGAAGCATCCTTGTTAAAACTAGAAGCAGAAAATTCCAAATATTGATTGTGACGTGAATCGGGCACAGATTTGGCAATGGTGCGTATGGGTACATCGGGATCTTTTAGCTCGATTTTGGCTCTAAAGTAAAACAAAAAAAAAGTTTAATTTATAAGTATTTTCAAATAATTTTGTTTTTAACAAATATTTACCTTCTATCACCACTAACATCGGTGTTATCATTAGATTTCCAAAAACTATTTTCTTTAGGATTAACCAGTTGACCAGTTTCAAAATTAAATTCACTTAATCTAGCCTCCAAATTCAAATGGGCCCCCACCACCCGAAAACGTACACCCGTCACTACAAATGTATTATCCTCCGTGTGTATATCATCCAAATCAATAGAACGAGCACCATAGGTTAATGTATAATAATCACGATTATTATGTACACCCTTCTCATTGAGAGTGTAGTTGTCGACCGGTTTCCACTCCAATGTTGACTCATTAATCATGCCTCTGGGTAAAAGTTGTCCCTCTTGTATTTGCAAATGGAATACACGATTTTTCTTAGTAAAACGTAAACCAGTAACAACTCTACATAGAAATAGAAATTCATTAATTTTTAAATTTTTAATTAAAGGTTTTTAGATCCACTTACTTGTTGTCATTGATATTCGATAAGGTCTCACGTAAATTGAAATAACGATCGGTTTTCGTGCTGTATTGATCATCACACAAACAGAAACAATAAGTACAATGCCAGAACAAATAACGCCACCATGAATCAACCTTTAAAATGTAACAAAAATAGTTTAAATTTGAACCTTATACTTTTACTACATGAAAGTCTAGATCAATGTCAATAGTGTAAACTTGACTTACCGGGGTTTTACCACGAGGACAGTTGGAGGCCTTACCCAAAGTAACACCATTTTCATATTCAATAAATTCATAACGACGTACACTGTCACGAGCCTAGGAATATAAAAATATATATATTAAAATTTCTTTCTTAAAACTTCCCCTTATCTCTACACACCGATGGACATATTGTCATATCCGAATCAACATAACGACAATTGTGTATATGACCCGAACAACGTTCCTGACGGGCACAGAATTTATCCTTAAAACAACCCTCATTCTTGGTACGTTCATAATCATCACAGGTCTTCCAACATTCACGATTATAATTCATATCCACTTCATTTTCAATATAACCCTGTATCAAACGTGTTACTTCCTCATAATTTATACCCTTAATATATATTTCGGGATCACAACGCCAGACAATACGTTCAGCTCTTTGCATAACTTCACGTAACAGGCGCACAGTTTTTTCAGTACGTTTTTCATAATCATTACGCATAAGTTCAGCTTCTTGTGTGAAATTTCCTACAAAATAATAAAAATTTAATTTATCAAATTTCTATTTCCTTCTATATACTACTTACCCTTGCCATACACTCTCAGCATCATCCATGAGAATTCCATCATTGTATAACCTTTAAGTTCCGTTAATGCAATATCCGTATATAATGAGTAGATAAATTGTTGTGTTGATTGTTGATTTAAACATCTTTCTTCTTTAGAAGCCTAAAAAAATAGTATTATTAAAAATTAACAAAACAGCTTATGAATTTGTTTTAAGAATTTTGTTATAATATAAACAATTTCTTTGTTTTTTTAATAGTTATTTTTTATATATAATAATTTTTATTATATAGTATAGTTTTCGTTGCTATGTTTTTTTAACAATCGATTATTTTTGTTATTGTTATGGAGAAAAAAAATTGTCATGTAAAAATTCACAGATGTTTTTTTTCTAAACAATTAATTACGGTTTTCCAATTAGATTTCGTCATTTGTTTGAAACTATATTGTAAGGTATTTTATTATTTAAAAAAATTTACCACTTTGTGACAGTATTTTAAACAAATTTTAAAATTTTTTTAAGAGAAATATAATTTTGTAAAATTTTATGTAATTATAAAAATATATTTACGTTTAAGGGTTAATAGGGATTTTTTTCGATGTCATCTTAAATACGGATCTATATTATATTATTTTCCTAAGTTTCATTTAAAATAGTTGAAAACCATATAATATTTCATTATGGTTCAAGAAAATTTCTTAAAATTCCATAGCTTAAGTTTAACCTTCCCAGTTTATGGGTTAACATTATACGATTTTACTTAAACTTTAGATATATGTTTTCTATTATCTTGAATTTGATATTCATGTATGTTTTATATAAAATGTATAACAGTAAGGAATTAAGTTTAGTTTTAAAAAATTTTAACAAAAAATTATTATCTCCGAAATCCTCAAAATTAAAATCGCCAGTACCGCTAATCTGTGAAAGATTTTCTTTATTATTTTATTGCTTTCTTTATTGTCCATAAGTTACAAGGAAATTTTTTTTAAATTTTAAAATTTGCCTAATAAAATTGTTAAAAATTTGAATCCGGATTTTTGAAACTGCCATCTGAAGGGTTTGCCATTTATGACTATACCCCAAAAACGATTTACGCTATCGAATGAAGATAAAAACTCACATTTTAGTTAATACCAATATATTTAATTTAATGACAAGGTTTTAGTAAAATATTTCACAAAATTTTTGAAATTTTTTTAAATACTTCTCATTTAAGTGTTTTGTGACACTAAATGATCGGACGAATTTGAAAATTTTTAACCGATTTTTGTGTTTTATATCTCATTGGAACGATAATTACTTACATATTCCAATTATTGCCTGTTTAAGTTCAAGAAGATCAATTTAGTGCCCACATTTTTGTTAAAATCATTCTCCCCTTCAGAGCCGTGGTGCCACCAGTTAATGTGGTCCTATCGCTCTAAAGTTTTCCAGAAGGCACTTCTCTAACTAAGTACTAGGTCTAGAGGCAAAGACGGCCAATATTCGCAACTTCTGTAATATCAAAGAATTTTATATTTGGGACAAAAGTATGTAGTCAGAAAGACTAAAAGATGAAAATGCGGAAAATTGGTTATTTCCTTATTCAGAATCATGTCCTTATAATCCAAGTTATAACTTTCGTAAAAGTAATTTCTTGCTAATTCCTTCTTAAGCTTTTGATCTACATACATATATTAAGCTTTTGATCTTCGCTATACAATCACCCCTATTCTACATTTCGATAACGTTTCGATTACTTATTCCAACAAAAAATCGAATCGTAAGAAAAAGAAGAAGCAATTCCATTTTATTTCAATGCTTTACGATTGAATGTATTCTGCATTACGAACGTAACGACATTATTTTAAGTTGTCATTTTAGTGACGAAGCTTCGAATCGAAATGCAGAATACCAAAGTTGCCAAGTGGAGAAAATTTCTATTCGAATTGAAATGCAGAATAGGAGTGAATATCTTCCATGAGGTCCGCATTAAGAATAAACAAAATATTTTGAAATTTTTGAATTTTGTTTAAATGACTAAAATTTTCTGAAATGTTATATTTCGAAATTATATCAATAAATAAACAATCAAACCCTAAAACCAAACAAATGATCATAAAATGAATATAAAATCTAAAAATATTGCAAAAGTTAAAAAAATATTTGTACCTATAAGTGGGTGGGTTATATGTTGATCTAGTAAACAATTTTGAAAAGTATAAGAAGTTAGATTTAAGTAGAATTTCATATTTTTGTCAAACAAACTTTTAAACAAAAAAATCTCAATTACTGAAATTGACAGATCAAACTAAAGCTTTTACATACAATAAAACAACATATATGAAAAGCATGCGGATATAGTTTCCAAAATTTTGAACCTAAATCGTTGTGTCAGTTAAAAAGAAATTTTAGCTTTTGTCCCCTTTTAAAGTTCTTTTGAACTCTATTATTTAGTTAAAATTAATAAATCATTATTTGTTTATTCAAATAAACTAGGGTTGCAAAATAATATTTTTTAAATTATATATTTACACGCTATATATAATTTCTCCCTACTATATATATCTCACGCTTTTAATCATATAAAATTGATTTTTTTTTCTTTTTTTGTTACAAAATTATTTCAAAATAATTTCAACTAACCATCATGGCACGATAATACATTGTTTGTTTCACCATTATCAATTCCGTATCCTGAAATATACGACCCATTGAAAAGGTCTTATCGTTGCGCAAAATATTATCCATGAGATCATCCAATTCCTGAGAACGTGAGAATTCAACATTGTTTTCTTGCGAATTAAGAACACGCTTAAATGCACCAAATAATGTTTCAATTTGCTGTAGATCACGTTCCAATATACTCCATTCATAATGATTTAATAATTCATATTTACCCATGGGCCATGTAGAATTCATATGTTCATTTATGAATTTTCTATGTGTATCGGCTATTTTACGCATTTGTTGTTCGGTATTGCGATTATTTTGGGAACGTTGTAAATGTTGCCACAAAGATTGTTCCAAACTAAGGTATTCATCGCGTATGGCATCGATTTCAATGGCTGGCATGGACCTTCCCATTATATAGGATGTGGAGGCAAAGGTTTCCGCATTACAACATATTAACACTGTTAGTAGTGTTGTTAATATTAATATTTTTCTATTTAACGTGGCCATTTTTGTCAGTTCAACGGTTTTTTTTGTTTTGTGTCTTTTTTTTAAACGTTTTTCATACGTGTTTGTTTATTTAATTTATTATTATTAATTTAAAATTGCTTCTTTTTTCCTCTTTTGCTGTTTCTTTTCTGTTAATAGAGAATTATAAAAAATTTTTTTGGGGTTTGTTTTCTTTGATTTGGTTTTTTTTTAAATTTATTTCTTCATATGCAAAAGTTAAAGAATGCCATTAGGAAATATGTTTTTTGATAATTCTTAAAACGTAAATATTTGTTTAATATGTATACATATTTATTTGAAAGTTCCAAGTAATAAATTCTTTCTCAATTCTTTTATACAGTCTTTAAGTAAACAAAACAAATATAAATTTTAGAAGAATTTAACAAATCTTTTAAAGAATCTACGCTTTCTTGCTTAAGTTTGCTTATCAAAAATGTATAAATAGTACTGAATATCATTCCAAAAATTCTTACGCCAATTTAAACAGTATTAGTTATAGCTCTCGCTAGTTTTAGTTAAAACTTTTCTTAAAGAAATCTCTCGCTAGTAGCAATTAAAGTTTTCCTTTGAGAAATCCTCTCGCTAGTTCTAGTAAAAGCTTTTGTGTTGGAAAAAGTCTCGCTAGTAGAAAAATCCTTATAAATCTATAACTTAAGCTGTCTCTAGCTTCAGCTTACATCTGAAGAATCCCTAATTTAGTTAAAATATCTCTGAGAAATCTTTCAATAGCGTGTAATTAAGCTTCACTGAAAGAAGTATCTTTGTAATAGTTGAAGCTTTTTCTATACGAACTTTTTCATAAATATATCACTGTCTCTAACTTAAGAATCTCTCGCAAGTTTATTAAAAGCTTTTCTTTGTGGAATTTGTCATTAGCTGGTGATTGAACTCTGCTAAAAGAAGACTGACGCTGGATAATAGTTAAAGCTTTTTATTTTAAAAGTTATTTCGCCAAGCTTAATCTCTCGCTTGTTCCAACAGAAGTATTCTATAAGAAGCTAGTTGCAGCTTTCTTCAAAGAAATCTTTCCCTGGATATACTTAAAGCTTTTGCAGGACACATATGTATGTCACATTATCTACTATAAGAAATATCTCACTAGATCAGGCTTAAGCTTGCTAACACTCTTGCTTACTGTAACAAACCCTTTTTTATAAGAAACTTATATATTTCTAGTTTAAGCTTTCTGAAAACAAATCTTTCACTTTCTATAGTTAAAGAAGAAAAGAAAAATATAAAAATATAAAGAATGTCTCGCTAGATCTAGCTTAAACTTTTGCTAGCTATAACAACAGTTTTTCTTATTCTAGTTTAAGCTTTCTGTAATAAAATCTATCACTGGCTATAGTAAAAGCTTTCTTAATTAAAGCTTTTATATAAGCAATATATCTAGTTCTAGTTAAAACTTTACTAAAAATCTCGTGCAAGTTGTGCGAAATATCTTTGTATTTCTTACTAAATCTTTCCTAAAACCAAGCTCTCGTTAATACTTCCTTAAGATGTGCTCTCTTGTTCCAAATAAAGCTTTTCTATTATAAATATCTCGTCAATTCTAGCTTCTTCCAACTAAAGTTTTTATATATGAAATCTTCCTTGATCTAGTTTAAGCTTTTCAGAAAATCGCTTAAAAATTCTAGCTAAAGGACTCTTTATATTTTAGCTAAAGCTTTACTTAAACTAAACTGTCGCTAGTTCTCCCCAAAGATGGTCTCTTTTGTCCGAAATAAAGCTTTTATATCTTCTGTTAAAAGTTCGGCTGAAATTAAATCTATTGCAATTCCTTAATTTGAACTCTTCTTCTTGGATATTTTTATATAAAATAATCGCTTTAAAAGAATAAACATAAAATTTTGAAATTCAAATTTTCTTCAAATAATTGAAATTCCTTGAAATCTTCCATTTCAAAATTAAACCCCTAAATAAACAACTAACCAACACCTAAACCGAAACAAAAATTAATGTAAAATAAATATAAAAAGTGCAAATATTGCAACAGCTAAATAAATAAACATTCGTACATTCATATAAACAATTTAGCAAAATAAGCAAATTTTATGCAGATCCATTTGTTGTTGTGTGTCTACTGTTAAAAAACGCGAAATAAAAACTCAAATCAAAATTGTTTTATAATTTTTTTTTATGACTTCCTCAACTAGAATGAAAGAAAATATTTAAAAATACTACAGCCAAACAATTCAAACAACTATGGAAATAAACCACCAACACCAACCACTTGCTTTTATGTATTCCCATACATTTCAATGAAAAGCCTGTGAAATGTGAAAATTTTATTAGTTTTTTGTTTAAACAAAATCTTTCTAGTTTCTATTGAAAGTGTATTTGTTGGTGACCTTTAACTGCGAACAAAGATTTTAATTTTAAATTTAGATTTGTTTTGTTAATTATTTATAAGTTCAATTAGTTTTTTTTTAATTTTCTTTAATTATTCTCTGTTTTTTAATTTCATTGTTTTTCACTTGTTTTAATTTGAAAGATTCTTTAAAGGCAATTAAATTAGTTAATTTCGTTTTATTAAATTATTTTTTTATATTATTTCTTTGATTTTTTTTTGTATTCTTTTTTACTTTTTTGCGATTTAGTTTATTTGTTGTATTTCTTTTTATTCTTTAAATATTTAGTTTTCGTATGGATTTCATCAACCGTTCACAACGCGTTCCAAATTTACAATAAGAATGTATCTCAGCAAAAAAACTCAATTCAATCATAAACTATTCTATATGTACAATTTGTGTTGGTTCAATGAGTGCATAGGGTTGCCATTGTTAAAATAAATAAATAATTTTCTATACTAATTAAACAAAAAAAAATTAGTAAAACTCACATAACAGCTAAAATTTTGAAATGAAAAATAATTCATTAAAATTTGTTTCCCTTTAATTTAATTTAAATTCAATTGTTTATTTTTGTTTAATTTTTATCAATGGCAACTCTTTTGTATCTGTATCTCTATTTCTTTTTTTGTTCTCACTCTCTCTCTTTATATTTTAATTCTCACTTTAACTCCCACTTTTTTGTATCTGTTCTCATTTGTTGCGTTTTATCGTGATACTCTTTGCAAATCCGTATGCATTGCATTTTGTTTTTGTTTTCATTTTTCAATGCTGGGAAGAGTTTTTCCCCTACTTGTATACTTTTTTCATTCTTTGTTTTTAATTAGTATGTTTTTGTTTACATTTTTCTATTGTTCCTTTGTTTGCTTCTGTTCTTCTCTTTATTGTTTATGGCAATTTTTATATTTATACTTTTTTCCGTTCTCCTTTTAAATGTAGAAGAAATTGTTTAATTTCAACAAGTACGAATTTTTTTTACCAAAAAAGTACCAACATCTAGAAATTAAGTACTATTTCTTAAAAATCTTATAAATTCCTGTTGAATATTAAACATTGTGGGTCAAAATGTTTCCCTATGGAAACTAGTTTATAAACCAAAAAAGTACCTTTTGAAGAGTTTAAATACAATTTGTAAGTCCATTTTTAAGCGGTACTAACTGATTAAACGTACCATGTTTCTGACATCCCATCACTATTCTTAATAATGGTTTCTTGTAGAGACTGGTACCTGAGTTTTAATACATAAATGGTTTGATTGTTTAGACTGGATTAGTAATTTTCAAGTCAAAATCATTGGTTATTAGTGGTTTAATTAACATTTATACAAATAACTAAACATTCCAAAAACAAAATTAACAAATAAATTTAAGTAAAATTTTAGATATTTTAAAGAAACAACTTCATTGTTGAATAAGAGTTTCTTTTGTAACTGATACAATGTACTTGCAATTGACGTCACAATGTAATTGTTTTGACATACAACTCTTCTCAGTTTACAATGAGAAAGAATATTTGTTTGCTTTACTTTATTTTGACATTATATTTTTCTGTCTCTCTCTTTGTTCAAGCTGCCTTGAAGCAAATGTTGTTTATGCTGTCAATATTACAACAAAACATCTGTATTGCAAATGCACTTTTATTGTAGATTCTTCTTCAGCCACCCGCTAAGTAGTCTGACAAAAAAAGAAAAGAAAAACAGACAATCAGGCAGCCAGCCAAAGAGTACTTGTTTAGTATTGGGGTGTTATGACGAAAAAGTGGAAAGTGTTTGCTGGCGATAAAATGACATTGTTTTAGATATATTATGATAAATGGGTCACTGACACTTGTAAAATAAGAATTTTTTTTTATAAATCCGTTTAAAATTATCATTAAGCTAAAGGTGTCATACTTTTTCACTCAAATTCCGTGATGATTCATTTTATATCTAAATAATTTTAAAATTTTATTTAATTTTTATATAAAAAAAACTAGTTTTTTTCTATTTAATTTTATTATTAAATTTATTAACATTTAAGTGGTCTGCCGTTTTACTAGTCAGCAAATACTTTTAACTCTGGTCTTTGTTCTCTTTAATAAAATTTCATAAATTCTCTTGTTTCTGTAAACTATAAAGATACAAAAAAGAGAGTGCGAGAGACAATTACATACTTTCCAAATTGTAGTTGTTATTATTTCTTAGTAAAATGTTTATTTTCTTCTTCTGTTTTTTAATATTATTTAAATTAAGCCCAAAGTTTTGATGATTCATGGCTTTTGCCCGAAAAAAAAAACAAACTTTCTTTGTTATGCATTGTTTATGGAAATATGCTCTGTTTTCTGCTTTTTTTCTCACCATCATCTGCAAATGTTGGGGTCAATTTGATGATTTTGTTTTAAAATTTCAAATTATGCCAGTTATTTTAAATTTAATATTTTTTATTGTTTTCTTTGTGTCTGGACTGGAAAAACATTCTTTTTTTTTTGATTCGGATAAAAGTATATATTTTTTGTATAAGGAACTGTAGCAAATTTTTTGCTTTTATTTAGATAAGAAATATTATTAACAAAAATGTTAATTTTTATATAAGAATATTTACAGCATTTCATTTTTATTAATTTTATGTTGATAAGAGATTTTTTATTTTCAAAATTTAAAAACTTGGTATTTCCCTTTTATAATTAATTAAACTAGAACTTGGAACTAAACTAGAACTGAACTAAAACTGAACTAGAACCTAGTATATATTTTTTATATAAAAAACTGTGGCAATTTTTTTTTTTTGCTTTTATTTAGATAAGAAATATTATTAACAAAAATGTTAATTTTTATATAAGAATAATTATATTTAGAACTGAACTAGAATTGAACTAGAACTAAACTAAACTAGAACTGAACTAGAACTGAACTAGAACTGAACTAGAACTGAACTTGAACTGAACTTGAACTGAACTTGAACTGAACTTGAACTGAACTAGAAATGAACTAGAACTGAACTAGAACTGAAATAGAACTCAACTAGAACTAAACATGATCTGAACCTGAACTGTTTTAGAACACAACTAGAACTGAACTAAAATTGAACTGAAACTGTACTAGAACTGATAAGAGATCTTTAATTTTTTTTTATATTTCTTTTTCAAAATATAAAACTTGGTATTCCCCTTTATAATTAAAATACATTTGAACTTGGAATAAACCAGAACTGAAACTGAATCAGAAATTAACCAGAACTCAGGCAAAACTGACCTAAAACTGAAGGAGAACTGTACTATAACTGAACTAGAAATAAATAAGATGTGAACTAGAACTGAACCTGAACTGTACTAGAACAGAATCGGAAATGAACCTGAACTGTACTAGATGTGACTAGATCTAGACTAAACTAGAACTGAACTAGATTTGAACTAGAACTGAAGAAGAACTGAAGTAGAACTGAACTTGAACTGAACTAGAAATGAACTAGAACTGAACCAGAACTGAAATAGAACTCAACTAGAACTAAACATGAACTGAACCTGAACTGTTTTAGAACAGAACTAGAATTGAAATAAAACAGAACTAGAACCGAATTAGAATTAAACTAGAACTTAACTGTAACTGAAATTGAACTGAACTAAAACTAGAGTAGAATTGAACTATAACTGAATCTGATCTGTATTAGAACTGAACTAAAACTAAAGTAAAAAGAACAACACTAAAGGTATGTCCACACCTATCAAATATTTGACAAAAAAGACGTTACCACTATTTTTTATAAATTTATTTTTGATTCTACATAATTTTTGTAATTGCAAATAATGACGAAACAAATAATAAAGACGTTCTAAACTGATATCGTCAAAGATATATAATGTTTGTGCAAATTAATATATATTTGAAGGAGATAAAAATGTCTATATTTTAAGGGTCACGTCATTTTCTTCAAATATTTGATAGGTGTGAACTTAGCTTAAGAAAATTTGTCATGATTTATAAGTACTTTTTAGCAAAATAATACTAATAAAATGTTTTGTGAAATTCTAACCATCAAATTATAAGGAAGACATAATAATAATTATTTAAATTGCGATAACAAACAAATATTTGACGTGTGTCAATCCAAAATTCATTCAGTACAATCAGTGCACATTTCTTAATAGATTGTGCAGTCTTGCTAAAATGTATTGTAATAACATTTGAATTCAAATGAAAAGTAAATATCGTATATAATTATTTTGGAATTATATTTCCTGTGTGTTTGTTATTTCCAAAATTTCTAATCTACAGAGATTTTACCTGTGATCCACCTAAAAAAGAATTCATAATTTCCATTCATTTCAATGCATATTTTACCTCATAACTTAACGCTAACATTTCAAGCATATTAGAGCCTGATTTGTTAGCCTTATCATCCGAACCGAACATAGTCAAATGTAAACGATCCATTAAATGATGGACCGAATAAGCATTAGGCGAAACAGTCCATTCGGCAAATGTCAACAAGGTCGACGATTCTAATTTATCCTGATGCAATTCATATTGTTGCATTTGTTGGAAACGTGAGGTTATACGATTCATAGTATCGGTAATATCGTTGCGTTTAGCTAACAATTGTAAATTTCCTTCTATGAAATTATTAACCGATTGTTGAGCCCAAGCCACCTGTTCGGCATGCTGTAAAATTAACCAAAAACATTATATTTACTTCAGAGTGTGCCACTTCCATTGTATAACTTGCCTGTTCCTCGGTTTGTTGGATTTGTTTACTAACTTCCTTGAGGCGAGATAAAACTTTACGTTGTTTTTCACGCATTAAGGGGAAGTTTATTTTTGAGCCTAACGGTGAAGTCTGTACAATATCCCAGGCTTTTAAAACAGCCGTTGTGACTTCTTTGACAACATGAAACACATCTAGGGCATCTTCTATTAAAGCTGAGGAGGTATTTGGTGCAGTAAATAGTATAAATGTGAACAGCATAAAGCTCAGACATGATGACACAGCACCTTGCAGTTTCATTTTGTAAATTTGTTATAAAAAATAGATTTTTTTCGACACGCTTAAAAGATAAACACTAACACAAAGAACACTTTTTGTTAAAAACTTCAAACTAGTTTTGTTTTTCAGCAATTTTAATTATATATCTTTTTGTTGAGATTTTTTTCATTTCATTTCAATTTTATTATATCTTATATTACATATACTGTAGTATATTTTTTCACTGACTAGTTATGTAGTTAGATTTAACCAAAAAATCTTATTTATTTATGTATTTATTTATTATGTTCTTTTTTATATGTATGTATTTTTTTTATAATATTTATTATAATAAACACATGTATATTGTTTGTTTGTTTGTATAACTCTCTATTTAAACCCGTCAGTTGTGTGACTTGTTTCTGAACGTCACCTCAACTCGAGTGTTAAAAATCGTTTGACTTATTGTCTTTAACGGTTTATACTTCATAGCAGTGATATTACTTTTATTTTCTTGTTTGCATATTTTTTCTCTCCACCTCGTATCTTTTTGTTAAGATTCTCTTTATAACATTTTTTTCTCTCTGAATTTTGAACTCTTGCTGTCACATTTTTCTCCCTCTCTTCAATTACATTTGATTAATGTTTTTTAGGTGTCTACTTTCAATTAATTTCGTTGTATCTTTTTCCATTTTATTTTTATTTATTTTATATTCAATTTATTTCGTTATTGCTGTCTCTACATTTTATATTCTCAGATTTCATTGTTTATATGTATTTATTTTAATGCATATGCTTGCATTTAGTTTCCCGGTTTTGTTGGAAATCAACATTTTGTAATGCATTCCTTGTCAGAGTTGCCAGTTTTTTTAAGTTGATTCCTAATTTTACAGTAACTAATCGCGTAACAATTCCTATCCGCTATGTATTCTTAAATTTTAATATCTGAGTTCTGAAGTTCTCCATAAGGTGTCTAGTAGGGTAAATGTACCAATGGTCGACAGTTTAACTTTTTTCTCTTTTTCAAACTATTCCCCTAAAGAGTCGGAAAATGTTATTACGATGATTTTTAGTTATTTCAATTATGTGTTTAGTTAAGTTTTAGATCTATTTAACTTTTTTGAAAAACAAATAACTAGTTTTTAGTAATTTGTAAATTTTGTTAAAAACTCCACATTTTCCAATAGTCGGCACCAGTGTTCCTAAGTTCGACAAAAAATGTCCCTATAGTCGGCAGTAAATTTTTTGTTTGAAAAAAGCATATTTATTTATAAAAAAAATTGATATATACACAATTTTCCAAAGAAAATATTTAATTAAATTTTTTCTATAGAAATAACTGTAATAATATCGTTTTTTCTGTAGAAAAATATATTATAAACATAATTATAATTGTAATAAGTATTTTTTACATTTTTTTCTATAGAAAAAGAGTTATACATGCAATTTTCTATACAATATTATATTTTTTGTTAGAGAAAAAAGTAATTTTTTATAGGGAAAAGTGTTATATGTACTGTTTTTTAAAGAAAATCTTTTATAAAAATATGCAATTTCCTATAGGAAAAAAATTAAACATAAGTTTCGTAGAGGATATTATAATAAGAACACTTTTCAAAATTGTCATACTAGGAATTTTCTATAGAAAAAAAAATGATATACTCATAATTTTTTTGTAAAAAAACAGTTAAGAAGCAATTTTTGTTAGAAAAAATTTCAATATGCAAAATTTTTAATAGAAAATACTGTTATACACATATTTTTTGTATAGAAAATTATATTCTGTAGTAGAAAATTGTAATCCTCTGCAGAAAAAGCTATTACACACAATTTTTCATAGAGAAAACTGATATACACATAATTTTTTGTATCAAAAATTGTTATACATAAAATTTTCTATAGAAAAAAATTGTATACAAATAATTTTCTATAGAAACAAAAGTTGTACAATCAATTTTCTATAGAGGAAATTGTAATATACATAAATTTTTATAGAGAAGTGTTATACATAAATTTTTTTACAAAAATAACTGTTATACGTATAATTTTTGAAGAGAAAATTGTTATATAGAAATTTTTCATAGTAATATACCCAATTTTCTATAGAGAAATAATAAATTTTAGAGTGCCGACTATAGAATACGTATGATCGAACTTAATACCCAGTAGTCGGCACCCCTATGCCGACAATAAGAATTCATAAAAAATTGTGTTCCTAATGGCGGCAGCGATTAAAATTACAAAAAAAATATATTTTTTAACTAACTTTTTCACTTTAAATTGAATATTTCAACTGTTTTCTTTCATTTAAATCAATTTTTGTCAAATAAATCATTTAATTTCATATAAATATTCAATTGTTTAAGGTGGCACTAAAACTAAATTTTTTTTTAAGAAAACTGACAGTACTACAAATGCTGCAAAGCTGTCACTAAATAACGTCAAATATAGAGGAAATTAGTAATTCTACTTAAATTTACTCATTTCATAAAGCAAAAAGACCATATTTTCTATGAAATATAGATCAAACCTTAATAAATTTGTACAGCTTTTCTTATTTATTTACATTTTTATGTAAAAGATGCCGACTACTGCCGACATTAGGTGCATTTACCCTATACCGTGTTATCTCTGTTAGTCCTTCTTAATTTGTCGAAATATCTTAACTTAATGACAATTCGGATTCATTGCAGTTTAATCCTTTAGAAAAGTATACTTTAGTCTCTAAAAATTTGTTAATCTGCATTGCCATCCCATTAAAACTTAATCATTTCACACATATTTATACTAAAATCCTTTTAACCAATACTACTTACCTGATAATACCTTTCCAGTACATTTAAACCACTCATATATGGATTTTTTCCATCCACCAATGTCAAATGCAAAAGATTTAATATATTGCTCACCGAATTTGAATTGGGACTAACAAACCATTTAGTCATTTCTAAAATTGTAACAATCTCCAAATCATATTGATATTTCTGAAAATTTAACATTTGACGGTACATGGAATCGATACGATGTCGCACGAATTCTATTTTATGAAATAATATCATTGCCTGGTTGTTGCTGATAACAGAATTGATAGTAGAATCATGAAAAGCTGAGATGTAATGCGAATGCTATAATTGAACAATTAAAAACATATAAAGATGTTATATCAGTTTTGTTTTAAAATATAAAATATTTATAGGAGTGTGTTCTTGAAACTTGTTTTTAATATTGCTCTTTGTGCGTTATTTATAGGTCTTTTTGTTACAAATTTATTTAACCTAATAATTTTTTTAATTTGGTCAATAATTTGGTTTTGATCTGACTAATCTAGTCATATAGTTTATTATACATATATAGTGGGCTATAAGGTGGTCATCTATAGTATATGTATTTCAAATATATATATATATTCGAAATTTTATATTTATATTATAATCTAATTTATAGTTTATAGTATAATTTACAGTTCGGACTATAGTCCAGTCTATAGTCTACTTTAGCCTAGTCTGTAGTCTTCACAATAATCTTGTATATTGTGTGGTCTATAGTTAAATCTATAGTCAATCGTATAGCGTATTATAATCCCTATTTTATCCTACTTTACAAATGTTTATTTTGTCTATAAATTCTCACTTATGCTTACTTTTTCAACCGATCTCTCCAACTCTTTTTCCAGCATATTAATTCTTGCAATAACTTTTCGTTCTTTACTTTTGAAAATCGGTAAATTCACACCCGATTTCGAAATTTCATGTAGAAATTCCGAACCAAAAAGATATTTTTCCATATTTGCAGTCAATTCAATCACTCCCATCAGATCTTCAATAAATGCTTCTGATTTGTTTATTAAATTTATTAAAATTAAGAAAAATACAAAAAATATTTTACTATATTTCTTTAAATCCATAATTTTTGTGTATTTCTTCTGAGCAGTTGCAATAAAATACTAAAGGCAAACTTATTTTCAATTCATTAATGATAAGAATAATATTATACATTATTTTATGCTTTCTTTATTACATACTTATTTTTTTAAATGTTCAATAATTTAAATTTATTATTAACCCTACTATTTTTCTCTTCCTATTTACAGAGTTTTTTCTATGAAATTTTAGCTGGCATTTGGGTGCGTAATGGTCTTCAAATAAAAGGACAAGCCATGACCTATATACAGGCAAACTTTTGCAATTCTATGGCTGATATGGATTTATTCTTTCTACAGATTTGTGCCACAAATTTACCACAATATTTCTTTTTACAAAATACCATCGAACTATTTGGTGTATCACAATGGCTGGAAACGGCTCCACTCAAACAACCACAGAAAATGGAACAAACTTCAATGCTTGAAGGTTTCTTAACATTCCTAGCCACCTTGGTAACGAGTCGTACAAATTTGGGTAATGACGAGGCTACACAGTGTATCATTGAAATAAGTGCTCTACTGGCCACTGAGAATAAGACCCATTCCCAGTTATTAGAGCTAATGCCCGAACGATCGGGAAATGTTCATACTAAGAATTTTGAAACATTCTTAAAGAAATTGTCGGTGTATAAGGCCCCATCATCGGGATCAGAAAATTTAGAACAAGGTTTGTTTACACCCATCGATGAGGTGTGGGAGGAATATTATGATCCCTTACATGTTCTCTTAAGAGCTGTTCACCGGCGAGATTTTCAATCATCACTGGATCGTTTTACCAACTATGTAAAGTCTAAGAATAAAATGCCGGCTAGCGGTAACTTATGGCCACCTTTTAGATTACCCCGACCAGTAGGGCCAGCATTCAGTGATCCTTGTCGTATATTAAGTTCCCGAGTCTTCCATTCAACCATATTGTCGATATTATATCGTGCTGTACATTCGCGTGATGTATCAGAACATTTATTGGCCTTAGCGATATTCCTATTGGAAATTGCCATCGAAACGAGTGAGGATACCAAATCAACGGGCAATGATAATGCTGCAGTAGTAGAATGTGAAGATCAACACAAGCCCTGCTATCGTTTTGGCATGCGTCGAGATCCTCCCAAGCTCTTCAAATGTTATCCCACAGATAATCTTAGTTGTAATTTAAGACATGTAGTGACTAAGATTTCTTTAAAATCTCAAGAACCTACAGTCACACCAGCCCACTATAGATCGAATCCTTTCTATCCAGATGTAGATTATGATATAGACGATAATACTGCTTCAGCAATGGAAATATCTCCAGCTTGGCTAGAGAATATGGGTCGTAATTTAAGTGTTGTACATAGTACATCGGCTCCAAATGCAACCACCACATCAACCGCTATAGTGCCTATGCGTTTACAAAACATGGAAGTAGCTCTGCCAGCCGATCTGTCAGTGGTGCCTGAGACTGGTCTAGTTATAAGACAAGATAGTCAAGATGATGATTCAATACGTGATGTATCTAACGCTATAGAAAGTGCTGAAGCTAATTCTTCACCCATGGAATTCCGTTTTTCTTTGCAACCCATAACCATGGCAGCTGATACAGGCATGGAGGTGGTTTTACGTGAAGGACAAAATCCCGGCCCATCAACTAATACTGCCAACCAACAGACTAGAAATCAGCAAGCAGCACAAAATCAAAGACCCACACAATCTGAAATGTTCCCTCCTACCACACCCAATTCCATAGGTAGCTTAATACCCTTCCCCCGCGTACAACCCGTTGCAGTACCAAGTACAAACATGGATGTTGTACCCTCAAATCCTACGCTCGGTGTTAGTGCCTTAGGAGCTCGCCGAGCATTTGATGCTAGCAATCGTAAACGTTCGGTAGACAATGCCATCGATGGTCTCAGTAAAGATGAAGTGATTATAGAGGAAAGTATATTGTCATTACTACTCAAATTACACTCACAATTGAGTGGAACTTTAGATAGTTTTTCTTGCACCGATGCCGACGAAGAGGAAGAGGCAAAAGGTGATTCTACGGCATCGTCTTCCTCAGCCATGGATGTAGACTGTGAAGGATCCTCGGAACCTTCTACTTCTTCAGCTGCTGCTGCAGCTGCCTCTAGTCAAACCAAGAAACGTAATATTAAGGTGTCCGATTCACGCATTGGAGATGGTCCCTACTTCATAGGAAATCTTTTACGCAAGATAGCGAAACATGATGAGACATGTGCTCAAAACATCGACGAGATAAGACGTAAACTCTGGCCGAATCAACGTGAAAAACAGGCGGAAGCAAAGGCTAGAGAAGCTAAAGAAAAGGAGGAGCGTCGCAAGAGAGCCCGTGAGAGACAAATGAAAATGATGCAAGATTTCGCCAACAAACAAAAAGAATTCATGCAAACTGCTGCTGCCAATAATATGGATGCCGGCATGGAGGAGGAAGAAGACCTCTATGAAGAACAGCCCCGCGAAAAAGAATATGACTGCATTATTTGCAATTGCACCACCCCCAGCACAGAATCAAATCCCATTGGTCTCGTAGTGCTAGTAGAATCAAGTGGCATTGTCGGTCATCGACGTAGAATAACGGAACGACTACCACTTCCACTGTCGCCCGAAGATGAAGAAAGACTCAAGCATAGTACGCGTTTAGCCACGGAATTCAATAGACGCACCGAAATTTTAAGTTTAAAATTTGGCGAAGAATCCTGGTATCTATCCAATAATATGGCCTATGAAAATGGTGTTCATGTGCAATCGTGTGGTCATCATTTACATTTAAGTTGCTTAGACGCTTACCTAAAGACTTTATACGCCAGCCAAAGGCAGCACTTGCACGAAAGAGGAGAATTTTATTGTCCCGTTTGTAGGCAACTTTCGAATTCGGTTTTGCCTCTAAGTCCGCAATTAGATCGTCCAACACCGGTTGTACGTTCCGGTGTACAACCATTCGAGCAGTTGGTGTCGGAATTAACGAACCTGATAAAGGAGAACGAAAGACCACCGGTAAGTTTTTAATAAGTAAATACAATTTTTTATTAACTGTAATGTATTCGTTTAGACCTCAACCAAACTATCCGAAGCAATGGGTCGTGCAATGGAAGACATGACAAATATAACAAATCGCAAAATGAAGCGAGTACCGCCAACGTTCCGCAGTCTATTCATATTTGTTACCTCAATAGCTCGCACTAATTTAGAGTCTGAAATTATACAACGTGGTGGCTCATTATGTACAACAAATCCCACACGTTATAAGCCAAAAAGAGACTGTATTGTACCATTACTTCATGTTCTCTCCGTACATGTACGAGTGTTGGTCGAATGGCCCTTATGGAGTTCATGGGCATCGTTGGCCGGTATGCCGGTAACAGAAAGTGCACCAGTGCCGTCACATTGTCGTGAAGTCATACCCGGTCTACTAGCAGATCCGATAGCCTTATTGCTAAAATTTATACTATTAGCACCATTACATTTAGATCAGGGTAAGACAAACTGTGTTTTTTTTTAGATTTTTTTAGACAATAAAATAATTTATTGATTTTTTTCAGAATACTTTACTTGTATGGTTAAGGTTATGTACAATTTACTATATTATCAAATTGTTGTACAACTGTGTGTCACCCTTACCGATCTCGAATGTGATTATATTTTGGCTAATTTTAATACCTCGCCATCGGCTGAATCGAATACACTCTCTAGCAGACGTAATTCTATGCGTTCACCTAACATGTCGTATTTGGGACGTGCTATGGCCTTAGTTTTGAAAAACACCAATCGTCTGTCACATCTTAGACGTGATAGTATACCTTCCACTTCCGCAGCCGCTTCTGCTGCTCTGGGCGTTAATAGCGAGGACGGCGTGCTAGCTGGTGTAGAAGTCAATCTTAAGTCAATGGAAACACAATTGCAAACACTCTGTCTACCATTCTTACGTATAGCGGCCCTATTACGTCAACATTTATACAGACACGATATGCCGGAAAT